ATCCATTGGAATGAGCGTTATTCCATGTCACTGAAGTGATCCCATGTGTTTCCCCATTTTCTCCCATTTCCATTTGGATCAAGAGATCAGAAGATGCTTTCTAACCAGTTCCAGTTCCTCCCCGCTCCCCCCTCCCGCTTTCTCTACATTTCAAAGATAGTTCACAGACAAAGCAGCACAGGGGAAAGAGGGAAGTCACCTTATGTCATATGATGGAATCCATGTTGCTTTGTCTATTAACTGTTTTAGAAGTGTGTGGAAATGGGTGGAAACTTAGAGGGCTAAAATACCCAAAAGACATGAGATCCTTGACCTCATCACATGGAGGTCTGGAAGCCTGGGGACAGTGGGGGACAGTCTGGGAAACTGTGGGGCTGTGCCCAGCTTTGTCCCCCTTACGTTGTGGGTTCTGGGCTGCCATCTCGCAACGTTGCCATACTGTTCCTGGCTTCTTCAATGAGGAGACAGGTAGTCATCTGACTCCTCAGGGCTCCCTCTTAGCACACTGCTGGCACACTTCTGGCATGGAATCCAACAGAACTCCACTGGAAGTAGCCCTGTTTCATTTAATGGGCTCTGCCAGAATCTGTCCCAGCAGTGTGCAAAGAAGGGGAAAACCACTTGTCTGATGAGATTGTCTATCTGATCTGGGAAACTAAGCAGAGTCAGACATGGCTAGTACATGAAAGGAGCCCAGGCCAGAGCTCCCTGTCGGCCATTATTATTATTATTATTATTATTATTATTATTATTATTATTATTATTAATACAACAACAACAACAATAACTTTATTCTTATACCTTGCCACTATCTCCCTGAAGGGACTCAGGTCAGCTTACATATGGGACAAAATGCCCACAAAATGCCCACAAGACATAAATACAAAACAATCCACTGAAACAAAAACAGAATTAAAACAAGAGCATGGTTAAATATAACAATCCAGATAAAAGCACAATTAAAAGAAAACATCAGTTATAAAACAGTAGTGTTGGAACTCAGTCAAAACAATGCTCAAGAAAAGCAATTGCCAGTAGAACAATGGGCATGGCCAGGCCATAAAAGAGCAGGGCATGGGATAGTGCAAGCAGCGTACCATAGGGCCAGGGCATTGGATGAAGTGCAGAGAAGAAAACATTATCAGGGAACCTAGGGACTGGGCATTTATAACTAGGGGCTAGGTGTTCTCAATTGCTAGCTGGAACATCCAGGTTTTCAAATTCCTGTGAAAGGAGGACAGTGTGGGGGCTTATCTAATCTCCTTTGGAGGGTGTTCCAAAGTCAGGGGGCCATCACTGAGAAGGCCCTCTCCCTCGTCCCCAACAGCTGTGCATGTGATGGTGGTGAGAGTGAGAGGAGGGCCTCCCCGGCAACTCTTAGAGCCCGCACTGGTTCATGGGGAAGATGCGGTCTCAAAGATAGACAGGACCTGATAGGGGTTTCTTAATAATTGACACACAGAGACACACAAAACCTATCGTGAAGGGTTGTGATTCTAGAATGGAAAATTAGTATCTCTGTTTTCACTTGTTTTGTAACTGTAGATTTTTAAATATGTTTTAATCTGTTCAATTTACTTTTGCCATTTTAAATTCCTTTAAATTGACAAACCTTTAGATATAAATACCATATTTTAATTTTCAAAGATAATCATGTATACAACCTTGAATGACAGAAACATGAAAATAACAACATAGCAGTCAAGAAATCCTAGCTAAAAAGAAGATAACTCCACTAAAATGAACCTCATAAAATAAAATTTGTGTTTAAGCATTTTCCAGAACTATGTAAAGCATTTCTCCTAAATCCTAGGTGTTGAAACAGAAAGTTACATACAAATTTGATTTCCTTCAAGAGTATGACTGCTCAGAATTAACAGTAAGTCTTCGTTCCCACTCCTTCCTGTTAAAGAAATTGTTTTATTGCATTGATGGGAAGAAAAGAAAAAGGGTTTCCCGTTTAAAAAAACCCCTTGTACCTTATTCACTAGTATTCTTGCAGCACTTCAACATTCACTTGGTTGATTCACCACTGGAAACCCCAGACTTTGTTACTGAAGTTGCCTGTGGGTTTTTGTTTTTCCAAATAGTCTCAATCACAAATTTGATTCAATGCCCCACTAGATGGTGCCAAAGTGTTCATTGACTTCCTTCTATTAATATAATACAGGCAGTCCCTGAGTTAGAAACATCCGAGTTACAAATGACTCAGAGTTAAGAACGGGGCTGAGACAACAGGAAGTGAGAGGAATCTACCCCTATGAAGAGAAATTAACTTCTGAAAGAGTTATCATGGGGAAAAGGTGTCTCCACTGAAACGTTATCTCCAATCCTTGTTTCCACAACATGCCAAATTTTCCAAAATCCAATTTTCACAGGGACAGAAAGTGAGGCAAAATATTCAAACCCAGACTGGAAATACTCTAGAGCCATCCCAATACATTTGTGGTTTCGGGCAGTTGCGGAGTTGATTATTCATGGATTTGATTGAAATAATATTATCTCTAGAAATAGGAGCCCCCAGTGGAACAATGAGTGCTGGCAGGACTGCTGACCAAAAGTTTGGCCATTCGAATCTGGGGAGTGGGGTCAGCTCCCATCTGTCAGCTCCAGCTTCCCATGCAGGGACATGAGAGAAGACTCCCGCAGGATGGTAAAACATTTGGGTGTCCCCTGGGCAACATCCTTGCAGATGGCCAATTATCTCACACCAGAAGCGACTTGCAGTTTCTCAAGTCACTCCTGACATGAAAAAAAAATTCTAGAAATCTCTAAGTTCTCCAGTGTGATTCTATGGTCCACCTCCTCAAGTCATGCTGGAAGACCTAGAGATTTCTAGAGATAAACTTATTCCTCCAACATAATCCTATGAAGTTCACCACAGAGTCATACTAGAAGGCCTAGAAATTCCTATATATGTGTGTGTGTTTTCACTTTCATGGGGGTCTCGTGCCCCTAATCCCAGCAAATGTGAAGGGCTGGCTATAATAACCTACAAACAAATAAGTTCATTCATTCATTCATTCCAACCTACAGTGGGATAACACAGTAACATAAGCCAAGGACACTAACTATGGGATTCCAAAGTGCTTGTTTATAAAACTATTGTCCTTCCAACCCTGCCTGTGAAACGTGGACTGTCTACAGACATCACACTCAACTCCTGGAACTATTCCATCAGTGCTGCCTCCGAAAATCCTGCAAATCTCTTGGGAAGCTAGGTGGACAAATGTCAGTGTGCTCGTAGAAGCAAAGACCACCAGCACAGAAGTGATACTACTAAGCCATCAATTCCGCTGGACTGGCTCCGTCATCCGAATGCCCGATCACCGTCTCCCAAAGCAGTTACTATATTCCCAACTCAAGAATGGAAAACAGACTATTGGTAGACAGGAAAAGTGATTTAAAGATAGGCTTAAAGCCAACATTAAACACTGTGGCATAGACACCAAGAACTGGGGTGCCCTAGCCCTTGAGCACTCTAGTTGGAGATTAGCTGTGACCAGCAGTGCTGCGAAATTCAAAGAGCCAGAATGGAGGGCAAGAGGGAGAAATGTATCAAGAAGAAGGCATGTCAAGCCAACACTAACCGGGACCGCCTTCTACCTGGAAAACGATGCCCCAACTGTGGAGAAACATGCGGGTCTAGAATAAGGCTCTACAGTCACCTACGGACCCACCTCCAAGACACTACACTTGGAAGGCCATCATATTCGGACAACGAGGGATTGCCTAAGTAAGTAAGACACTAACTATGGTATATTTTAGCATCCAATACTAGCAGAACTAGGGCTGACATTTGCTGAATTTCATGTTGCAGATCTCAAAAAAAAAAACATGTTCCGTGAGTTTTAAGGTACCCAGGGCAAAATACTGTTGGTCAGGGCAGGTTTACCAATACTATACACCTATATTACAGTCAGTTCTCCACATTTGCAGGTTTATTTTTGCAGAATTTATTATTAATGAATTTGAGTAATAAGTTTTTTCTAGGAATCTCCACATCCTCTAGGATGACTATGGTCAGCATGTAAGACATGGAGACTGATATGTGTCAGAGGTAGTTTGTTGTATCTGAAGCGCCTTGAAAAGACAACCTGTGATGTTCCTTATTTATGTTTTAAAAGTAGTCGTGTGTTTTGTATCCTTCCCTCTAAAAGGAGCTGCAATGGCAAGAGGAAACATTGTGTTGAGTATCCAGCTTTGAAAGAGTGTGGTATAAATAAAAGAACACAATACAATGTTGTATAGCACAAAAGCACACTGATTTATAGTAGGTTGTCTGTTAGATGTTACATGTTCAGTCAATAGTCTAGAGGCAAGAAAAAACTGTATGGTATTGTCGAAGGCTTTCATGGCTGGAATCACTGGGTTGTTGTAGGTTTTTCGGGCTATATGGCCATGTTTTAGAAGCATTCTTTCCTGACGTTTCGCCTGTATCTATGGCAAGCATCCTCAGAGGTTGTGAGAGGTTGTGAGGATGCTTGCCATAGATGCAGGTGAAATGTCAGGAGAGAATGCTTCTAAAACGTGGCCATATAGCCCGAAAAACCTACAACAACCCCAAAACTACATTGTTTATCTGTAGCAATGTCACAGGCATTGTTACTAATTCTCAGGATTTCTGGGGGAGACCATGGTAGTTACAGTACATAAAAGTATGTATAATATACGGTGTGCTTTCATTAACAGGTAGTGTATTCTTCAACTGGCTGAATCCAACTCCTAAGAAAATGCCTATGCACACATGGAAACAAGAATCTGATTCATATTGAAACTCTGGTTCTATTCTTGAATCCTTAGGTCAGGGAAAGATGTTTTTATTATATAGCCACAATTACAATGTGTGCTATACCAATGAGGATATGGGATTATCCAAAAGGAGAAGTTTGTGACTTGAAACACAAAGGGCTTCTGGTTTCCTATCTTTTATGCAAGGGGATAGTTTTATTCTTGTCTCTAAAGTTCACTTTTGGTTTTGAATTTGGAACACTCAAATATCAAGTTTGAGTTCAATTTTATTGTATACAATAAAAAAACAAATGGATCATCAAAGATCATCGTCATGCACAAAATGAGACTAAAATGTACTACATCGTTGTTATTTGCTGTCAAATAGATTTTAACACAAGCAATTCTAGGCAAGAATCTGCTCATTAACAGTATTTAAAAACTGATCTGTTATTGTTATCATTGGTAGAGTACTAGTTGATTCATTTAGTTTATTGATCTAGTACAGTGGCTCCCAATCTGTAGCCTGTGGACCACTAGTGGTCCGTTAGAACTAAAATATGGTCCGCAGCCTCACCGTTACTACACCATTGCAATGAGAGCAACTGGTCTCGTGAAACCCTCTTATGCCGAGACTTATTAAACATGGTTTTCTGTGGGCGAACAGATGGTGACTACTGGACGTCATATGTTCTGTATCGGAAACCAGAGCTGATATGGCCTATCCAATGCAATTTTCTGAATCAGTACCTCAAATAACCAAATTGAATCGAAAGCCAACCAAAACCTTTTGGTACTAATGTTGGAGAATGGTCCCTGGTCAATAAAAGGTTGGGAACCACCGATCTAGTAATTGATAATGAAACCAATCTGCAATGGGATGGAGAAGGGTACATTGGATACTTCCTACACAACAAACAGTATTTTTTGTTGTTGTGTGTCTTCAAGTCTTTCCCATCTTGGAAACCACTGATATATTGGGTAGGGTGGGGTTTGTATGGCTAGCTCATACCATTAGCAGTCAGCTAATGCCAGGCTTTGAGAGTGTAGGGTACAACAAATCAGCACAAAGCAAAACACAACTTTTCAATAAATGGATCGTTGTCATTACTGAGTCTGAACATATATCAGCAGTCTTACAGCTACATGTCCAATGGCAGCGTTCAGATTTTCAAACCATTTGATATCTAGCTTTGAGTAGAATATAAAAGGAGAAGAGCAAGGAACAAGGAACTGAAGAGCTCAGTACAACCTGTTGCTCACAGGTTTGTATGTTCACTATCCCTTTTGGTTTCAGATGCCGCCACATATTCTTCCTCTTTTCCACGACCACCAAGTCAACTCCTGAAAATGAAGACTGGGCAGTTGCATCGGTAGAAAATAACATGAGGTGAACATTCTTCATATTCTAGTTTCTACAATATCCTTTGTATTCTTGACAGGTTGTAGAGCACATAGTGAAAACATGTAGAAAACAAAGTGTTCTGTCCAAAGGTCTTCTGACATGTTCGATACATTATTTTGGTGTCAGGGTGCCTTCCTGATGTTCCGTTGTCTCCAACCATAAGATGAAGTCTATGGCGAAAGAGAATACAGCATGACTGCTTCTACATCTCATTTTAGGAACCTCTGAGGAAGTTTTCATCTTGGCAAAGGACCGCTGAGAACGTCGTGTCTGGGAATCAAGCCAAAGTTTAAGGAGCAATGTAATAGAGGACAGACTTTTTCGTGGTTCCTCAAGACTTCATTCAAGTGTTTTAATTCATCTGTCAGTTTGCTGATCTCTTTTTTCAGGGAAGTATTTTCTTGTTCCAGGCATTCGTACTCCTGCAATGGATTATAAAAATAAATAAAAAAAACAATACAATTTTTTCTTTCATTGTTTCTCTCTCAAATGGTGCATAGATGTAGAACTCATGTCCAAAGACAGATCCCAGAAACTGCTAAGAAGGAGATAGAACCCATTCCTTTTGCTCAGTTCAACCTGGGCCAGACAACCAGTCCTTACAGGGCAACCCTGAAAGACCAAGGCCTCTTCCACACTGCTCTATATCCCAGGATCTGATCCCAGATTATCTTCTTATCCCAGATTATCTTCTTATCCCAGATTATCTGGCTCTGTAGACTCATATAATCCAGTTCAAAGCAGATAATCTGGAATCAGATCCTGGGATATAGGCCAGTGTAAAAGGGGCCAAAGAAACCAAGATCTAAAAGCAAAACCCAGTGGCCCATAGTTTATATAGGAAACCTCTAATACATGAAATAATTGCGGTTATGATGCCATACCCTCCAACTGTCCCAGTCTGACAGGGATAGCCCCAATTAATCCTCTATCTTCACCTTTTTTTTCTGTTGGTTTAAAAATATCCCAGTTTCACTTCTTCCCCCTTGGCTTACTTCCATTGCCACGAAATAAGACCAATGTATAAACTCCCAAGCTGCTTTAGCAATCTTTGGCCCTATCTACACTTCCAGTTCAAAGCAAATAACCTAGATTCAGAAACTGGATTATATGGCAGTGTAGATCCATCTTAAGTTGCTTCCCATTAACCAATCACTGAGTAAAAAGCCACAAAGCTTTCATACTTTCTCCTAGTTAATGCAGTTTGATACCACTTTAACTGCCATGGCTCAATGCTATGGAATTCTTGGGTTGTAGTTTGGTGAGGCACCGGTACTCTTTAAAAGAGAAGGTTAAAGTCCTTGTAAAACTACAACTCCCAAGATTTCATTGAAGTTGTGTCAAACTAGATTAGTTCTACAGTGTAGGTGCAACTTAGGGTGCTTCCAGATGGCACCAAATTGTGAGTTTTAGTCAGGGGCAAAAAAATCCTGAGAAGAGGTCCACATACAGATCTGTTAGTCCTGGGATTTCTGCCTCCATCGTCCACACTTGTTGCATTGTTGCAGGATTTAGAGGCTCCCAAGATGGCCACCGCAGGACATCCGCTGTAAACTTCAGCGATTTTTAAAAATAAACTTAAGATGTGCATATACAAGTATGCGAATCATTGCATAAGTTCTGTTCCTGGCTGCGTGGCCATCTGTGTAAACAATTCTGACTGTGTACTTTTGCCTGGGAACTACAAGGCACTGTACTTGGGTTATACATATCTGTTCCTGATTGCTGTTATTGTGAAAAGATGTACAACGTTGACGACAGAACGACAACTTTGTCCTAACAAGACAAACTTTGTCATCCACATGTTTAATGAAGTTTCTGGCACACAAAGTTTACTGAGTAGGTCCACTACTTTCGAAGGCACTGCTACACAATCAAACAGGAACACAAATCAAACAGAATCAAGCCAGGAGCAGAACTTAGTTATTATTATCACTTTTTAGAGACTGCCTGGTCATCTGTACAGACGGGTTTTGTGGTGTACTTGTGGCATGGAAAAGCAGGGTGCTGTTCCTGGGTTATATATGGATGGAGGATGATGAGCAACGATTTTAGTGTGACGGCTGACCATTATAGTTATTGATTGTAATTGCTGTTTTAATGTTTTACTGTAATATGTATTATGATGTTTTATTGATTGTATGTGATATTATGGTTGGAAACCGGTCTGAGTCCCTCAAGATAAATAAATAAATAAATAAATAAATAAATAAATAAATAAATAAAGGTCTATTCCTTGTTTCTTTTATCATAAAACATGGCAAAAGTTGATTACATGACAAAACTTTGTTTGTGTGTCACGGATTTCATTAAACGTCTGGAGGACGAAATTTCTCTTGCTAGAATAAATTTTTCACCCTCTATTCAACTGTTGCCTTGTTTTTAGGAAACAACCAATCAGGAACTGACATGCATAACTCAGGAACAAACCAACATTAAAAAATTCAGTGTTTTCCGAATGCAGGGACATACAGGTATTTGAAGATGTGCCTTTTCGGGCCAGATCCGGGATATTCCTACACCTGAAAATCTTGAATTTTTTGCCATTTGTAGTAATTGCTCCTACGTTTTCAGGAAACGGCATTAGGTCACCCTCAATTTTGATGTGGAAGCTCCTGGAATAAAGTTACTGTCTGGATGGGCCCTTAGTAGGACTTTGGGTTCAGTATATCCTCAGCACCTTTCCTCCAACCTGCCTTTTGGAAACGATGAGACCACAGTTTCTTTCATCCTCCTCCATAAACTATGCTGTCTTGGGCTGATGTGATTTCCAACAGCCCAGCAAAATGTGAGGGTTATACATTCCCTACCGCTGCAGTTCAGGGAAGGAAGAGAGACTGAGAGCTGGGCACAAGAGTTTCACAATGCAAATATACACCAAATGGTTAATTTCCCCCCTGATTTGAATGTGCATGGAGCAGAACTTATACCAGTGCGCTTAAAACACAAACCTACATTGAGAAAGAGAGAGAGAGAAATACTTCGGTTCAGCTGCTTTACTGCACCACACCTGAAGTTGCTAGTACCTGCTTTCTTCCATGGAAAAGGCAGATTAATATCTTGATCTCCACCCTTTAAGGTTCTTTCCCCTTAAATAGCATTCATGATTGCTCATAAGAAAGCTTGCAGGATGAATGATAACAACGGTGTCGATCATGGTCTGAAATTCAGCCTCAACCGACACCCTTATTGCTATGCATCTGACCAATTTTCTTGAGAAATAGCTTTATCGTAATCAGAGTGAGATGAACTTAAGAAGGCAGCAAATATAATATGAGAAATGTTGGAAAAGACTAGGGCCCCATTCAGACAGTATCTTTATCCCAGGAGCTGCCACAGCAAACAGGAGAGTGACCAGACTCTGTTTCCTGTAAGCTCAGAAGCAATCCCTACAAAAGGCAAAAAATGTGAGATTTCCAGGTGTGGGAATATCGTGGTTTTGAGCTGAATATCTGGATCTTCGCATTTCTGTATGTCCCTGCAATCGGAAATCATGGGATTTTTTTTAGATTTGGGTTTGTTCCCGGGTTTTAGATGCTTGTTCCTGATTGGTCAGTTCATAAAAAAGGAGGTGACACTTGAGTATAAGGTGAAAAATTTGTGTGCCAGAAATTTCATGAAATGTATGGAGGGCACATTTTCTCTGGCCAGGACAAAGTTGTGGCCTCCTAGTCAACGTTGTGCAACTTTTCAAAAGAAGAGCAATCAGGAGCAGCCATGTGTAACCCAGGAAGAGCACCCTGTTGTTTGATGCCACAAGTAAACAACCAAATCTGTCTGGACAGATGGCCAGGCAGCCAGGCTCTAAAAATAGTAGATAATGACAAAATTATGTTCCTGGCTTTAAAGTGTGTGTTCCTGTTTGTGTACCGCTGACTTGGGCAGTAGTGGTCCTACCCCATGAGGTTTGTTTGTGTGAAAGATACTTCATGAAACGTCTGGATGGCACAGTTTTTCTGGCCAGGACAAACAGAATTTTTGTGGTGATCCGCATATCTGAATCTCTGCATCTCGTTGGTTTAAAAAAAGCAAACTGCCAGTTTCCGATGGAAGTCCTGCTGTGGCCATCTTGGAGCCTCTAAGACTCGGAACAAAGTATCAAGTTGGGACAACAGACGCAGAAATCCTGGGACCAACAAGTCTGTATGTGGACCTCTCCTGAAGTCCCAGGATTTCTTGCCCCTCACTAAAACCTGTGATTTAGTGCTGTCTGGAAGCTCCTTAAGTAGCTTATTAAGGCTCTTTGTGGTCTCTCACTGCTTTAAGTTTAAGCAAATAACAAAGTCACAACCTAAGTTCACACAATTCAAAGTATGATGGCTTTTGTGGTCTCAATATTCAATATATCTGGAGCCACACTATCCAACATTCCCAGGATCCTTTGCAATACATCAGATTCCTGCTCCAGATCTGAAGTGAGCGGCTGAGCAGGCTCTTGTGGAATTTTTTTTGCCAAAACAGACATGCCCTATATCCCAAGATCTGATCCCAGGTTTTCTGTTTATTCCAGATTATCTGGCAGTGCAGACTCATATAATCCGGTTCAAAGCAGAAAACCTGGAATCAGATTCTGAGATATAGGGTCAGTCTGGAAGGGCCCTAAGACCCCTCCAACATTGCACTGCCACATAATCCAGATTATTACCGTAGATAGATGTTAGCCGCCTTGAGTCCCCATGGGGAGAAAGGCGTGATATAAGGTAGGGACTGTGGTGGCGCAATGGGCTAAACTGTTGAACTGTTGAATCTGCTGACCTAAAGATTGGCAGCTCGAAGCCATGGGTCAGGGTGAGCTCCTGCTGTTAGCCCTAGTTCCTGCCAACCCAGCAGTTTGAAAATGTGGGAAGATCAATAGGTACCACTTTGCCAGGAAGGTAAAAAACATCCATGCAGACATGCCGGCAACACGACCAGTAGGTGTCTATTTCCAGGCTCCTCGGCTTGGAAATGGAGTAAGAGCATCTCCCCATGGCCGGATTTGAGCACCGCCTCCAGAAGCTGGAGATGAAAGGGGAAGCCTTTATCTTTGTATTTGTGTGTCATTGTTATTTCATTGTATTAAGGGCACTGAATCTGAGTATGTTGTAATCTGGTCTGAGTCTCCTCGGGGAGATAGAATGGAATATAAATAGCATATTATTATGATGATGCTGGTACCACGAGATGCAGAGCTAACCTTAAGAAATGGGGCCACAAAGTGGAGTCCACAACATGTGAGTGTGGAAAAGAGCAAACCACAGACCACCTATTACAATGCAGTCTGAGCCCTGCCACATGCACAATGGAAGACCTTCATATAGCAACACCACAGGCATTGCAAGTGGCCAGATAAGGTCAAAGGACATTTAGTATAATGCCAAGTTTTTAAACTTTGTTTGTGTTTTTAAATACATTACAACTGTGCCTTCAGTTAGCTTCTGATACAATAGATAAATAAATAAATAATAATTATGTATAATAATAATAATAATAATAATAATAATAATAATAATAATAATAATCAACAACATCCAACAACAGTTGTAGGGCTGCTAGGCTGCTATAGCTATACATTTGGGCAAATATATGACCAAGAGGAGACATGATTCACATTTAGGGAATAAAATGCATATAGAAAAACAACTTAGCCGTGACTCAAAACATTACAAACTCCAAATCACCTCCTGAAATTACTAGGAGGCAGGTACAGTCCAAACTAGATTTCTTCATGAGAGGTGGAATTAATCTTCTCTGGGATTCCCCGACACAAGCTGTTGTGACAGCTACACACTCATCTTTTAAAAGGTGTTCATGGAGGAAAGAGTAATCCATGTTTGAAAGCAACAGATTGTTGATGGGCATTTGGTACATATATCCAGGGAATAGTGAGTGCCTGTACCATTTGGCTATCTCAGCCTTGGATCCCCAAATGCTGAACTACAATAGCCATCAACCCGAGTCAACATGAGAAATGATTGGGGTGGATAGGTGGAAGATAGCTAGGTAATGGTTTCCCCCTGACATTAACTCCAGTCATGTCCGACTCTGGGGGTTGGTGCTCATCTCCATTTCTAAGCCAAAGAGCCGGCATTGTCCGTAGATGACTCCAAGGTCATGTGGCCGGCATGACTGCATGGAGCGCTGTTACCTTCCTGCTGGAGTGGTAGCTACTGATCTACTAACATTTGCATGTTAGGTCGACAGAAGCTGGGGCTAACAGCGGGAGCTCACCCCACTCCCTGGATTTGAACCATGGAAGATATAGTTCAAGATCTTTCCAATGAACAAAGATTGAAAAAGGCTGGGATAGCCAGCAGAAAGAAAGAGAGCAATCTGAGATCTAATACAGTGAGTCTGAACTTCAGAGGGAAAACAGAAGGGACTGAGCCATTTTCTTCTCAGGACCTGAGCTATTTTCCTGTTAGTTGCTTTTCTTATGCACTTCTTCTTCCCAAAAATGAATTCACAGAGTGCCCCCCTGCTATGTCAACTCCACTGGCTGCCCGTCCATTTCCGAGCTCAATTCAAAGTGCTGATTTTGGTCTGTAAAGCCCTATACAACTCCGGCCCAGCTTACTTGTCTGAATGTATCTCCCTCTACGCTGTGCCTCGTAGTTTAAGATCCACCGGGGAGGCCCTGCTCTCGGTCCCACCGGCCTCACAAACGCATCTGATGGGGACGAGGGACAGAGCCCTCTCGGTGGTGACCCCCCACTTGTGGAATTCGCTCCCCAGTGAGATTAGACTGGCATCCTTCCTCCTTTCCTTTAGGAAAAAACTGAAATCATGGTTTTTGAACCAGGCTTTTGGCTAGCAGGCACAACGGCACTTTGGACATTGAACTGGACCATATGATGATTGTTATGATAATGGAAACGGCTTTACAACTGTATCATTAATGTTATTGTTTTAATCTATTTTGTGTTTATGCTTTTATATTGTTGTTATAGTGTGATATTGTAGCATCAAATTGTTGCCAGTGTTAGCCACTTTGAGTCCTCCCTCGGGGGTTGAGAAGGGCGAGGCAGAAATGCTGTAAATAAATATAAATAAATAAATCTGCATTTCAGAATGAATGCAGTTTGACACCACTTGGAATCATAGCATCTGTTGGTATTTCTGTGGATTCTTCATCTGAATACTGACCAGGAATGACCAGTAGTTTAGCTATTGGGGAAGGAAAGACAAATAAAATAAAAGGTTTCATGAAATTCTTACGAAATACTAGGTCCCATCTGTTAAAAGCTAAGCAGAATCAATCCTGGTTAGTACTCAGATGGGAACCCAACAATGACTCACCCTAAGAAGATTCCTTAGAAATAGAAACATTTATGAGCCATGATGGCTTATTCTGTCACAATGCATGAGTCAATCTTTCAGATGCCACAAGATGACATTTGTGCCTGAAACTGAATGCTAATACTTCTGGAAGGCAGGGCAAGAGTCACCTCATGGAGTTTGTCTGCTTTCTGTGTTTGTTTCTTTCGGCTTCTCTGTGCAGCCACTCTGTTCTTCTCTCTCCTCCTTACTTTTCTTTCATCATCTTCCTGACCCTGACCAAAAAAAAAATGAAAAACCAGGAGACTTTCAGTTAGTTAGTTAGTTAGTATTGTTAGTTACATATTTATTTATTTACAGTATTTATACATCACCCTTCTCACCCCAAAGGGGACTCAGAGCGGCTTACAGAACACACAAACGGCACACATTCAATGCCGATTATACAATTAGCAAGGACAAACAACACAAACAGAGATAAAGGCGGCTTTTCCCATCTTATTGCCAACATCTTGGAGGCTGTGCTCAAGCCCAACCACAGGATGCGGGGAGTGCTGTCGCTCCATCTTCCATGCTGAGGAGCTTTCCTCTGATCGATGTCCTTTAAGGCCATCTTTGTTTCCTCCCCACTAAATGCAGTACCTATTTATCTACTTGAATTTCTGTTTTCAACCTGCTAGGTGGGGCAGGAGAGCTGGGGTTCACCCTGACTTGGGCCCGAACTGCTGACCTTTCGATCGGCACAATTTTTCTGCAGCACAGTGGTTTAGACTGCTGTGCTAAGTTCGGACCCTACTTTCCCCCCAACCTGATTCTTGTGATCCCTTATCATTCAGAAAATGGTAAAACGTTAGCAATGTTAGATGCATCGACACCGAACAGGATGAAGGTGACATGTACTTACGTTCCCATTATACCCATCAGGAAAATAAAGTACAGAAAGTCCTGACTGGACCACACTCAATTTTGATATACATTTTAGCCTGGTTTGACAAGAATGTGGTTTGAAAAAGGTTTTGAGAATGACTGGAATACAGTTTTCAAATCCTTTCCCCTACAACTATGGCCCCTTCCACGCAGTTGAATAAAATTCCACATTATCTGTTTTGAACTGGAATATATGACAGTGTGGACTCAAATAATCCAGTTCAAAGCAGATATTATGGGCTTTTCTGCCTTGATATTCTGGGATATAGGGCTGTTGGAAGGGACCTCAGTTTTTGGAAAGAAACGGGAACAAAATTTAAAATTGTATCAAATTAGCTGAAAGTCACACTGAACTCAGGTAAACTCATACCAATGGCATGAAAACTCAAATAGATTTGAGAGGAGGAGAAAGAAGACTCTTGTTGTGACTTTCATGAAATCACAGATCTTTTATTTCCAAAGGGTTTGAAGATATGTATGCTTAAATCTACTAAAGAAGACACGGGCAAACTTTGGCCCTCCAGGTGTTTAGGACTTCAACTCACAATTCCTAACAGCCACTAATTTTGGAAGCTAGACAGGTTCAGCCCTGGTAAGTACTTGGATGGGAGGCCACCAATAAACATCAAGTGAGGTAGGCTATATTTGAGAGGATGCAACTGACAAAACCCCTTCTGAGTATCATTGGGATTGTATTGATAGGTTATTTCTCAATCACTAAGAAATAACAGGAATGAATGGCTTTAAAAATAGTAACTTAAAAAATAGTAACAATAAATAAAGTAGAAGGAAAGAAGGAAAAGGCATAAACTTCAAAGAAGGTGTCAGGAAGTCTCAGAAATTGGATTTTATCTCACACCATTTTGATTCTATATATATACTGTGTGTGTGTGTATGATACACACACACACACACATATATATTCTCCTTCCTTTCCTCTTTCCTTTTCATTTTCTTATTCTTTCTCACTCTATTTCTTTCTCTCTATTTTTTCTATCCCCCACTTTATTTTTCACTTCACATTTTTCTTTTTTTCTTTTTTGGGTTTTTTTAAAAGACATTTATGGCAAAATTTCAATAAAGAATTTTTTTAAAAAAAGATAGTAACTTTTGAAATTCTAACCAAAGGCTGTTGGCCCAGGTATCCTATATCCTACTAGTGGCTAACCACATGTTCACAAGAAGCCTACAAACAAGGCACATGAGCAGCAGTCTGTTGTCTCCAAAAACGGGCAAACTGCCTTTCAGATTCGGAGTCACTAATATGTTTTAAGTCTTAGGGCCCTTCCACACAGCCATATAACCCAGAATATCAAGGCAGAAAATCCCACAATTATCTGCTTTGAACTGGGTTATCTGAATCCACTCTGCCATATATTCCAGTTTGAAGCAGATCATGTGGGATTTTATTCAGTGGTGTGAAAGGGACCTTAGAGTGCAGCTATATCAGTGTAGAATCAAAGCATTTGAACAGCCATGGCTCAGTGCAATGGAATTGTGGGATTTGTAGTTTGGGGAGGTACCGGCACTCTTTGGTAGGAAAGGCTAAAAACATTTAAAGGCTGTAACTCTCACAATTCCAAAGAATTGAGCCATGGTGATACAAGTGATAACAAAATGCATTAATTTGGCAGTGTAGATGCACCCCTCGTTAGCCATAATTACTTCCTGCAGCAGTATCCAGGTCAAAAAAATGAAAAAGACTGGATGAAGAAATGTTTCCTTATGTCTGAAGAACTTAGAGGAGTTACTTTTTGGCTCCAGTAGCTATTTGCAAATTGATTTCATTAGACAGCCCTGAATACTGGTACTAATAAGATGCGAGAAGAAAAACCTTACCATAGTTATCTACAACAGTATCATCTGGATTTGCACATGGATGGACTCAATCAAGTCACCTTCTAAGGAGTCTATTAAATAGAGGCTGGATGGCCATCTGTCAGGAGTGTTTTGATTGTGTTTTCCTGCATGGCACAATGGGGTTGGACTGGATGATGCTTGGGGTATCTTTTACCTCTATGATTCTATAAGCCACGGAGGCCCTGTTTCTACAAAACCTATGCAGGATGGCTAAGGTCAGCATTTCTCAACCTGGGTTCAGGCCCCTTGTGGGGGTCATGAGGGGGTGTCAGAGGGGTCACCAAAGACCATCAGAAAACACAGTTGTGTGGGAAGTTTGCTTCTATTCCAACATTGGTGAGGCTCAGAATGCTCTTTGATTGTAGGTGAACTATAAATCCCAGCAACTACAACTCTCAAATGCCAAGGTCTATTTCCCCCAAACTCCATCAGTGTTCACATTTGGGCATATTGAGTATTTGTGCCAAGTTTGGTCCAGATCCATTATTGTTTGAGTCCACAGAGGTAGGTGAACTACAACTCCCAAACTCAAGGTCAATGCTCACAAAACCAAACCAGTATTTTCTGTTGGTCATGGGAGTTCTGCCAAATTAGGTGCAATTCCATTGTTGGTGGAGTTCAGAATACTCTTTGATTGTAGGTTAACTATAAATCCCAGCAACTACAACTCCCAAATGACAAAATCAACCCCCCCCCCCAACCCCACCAGTATTCAAATTTGGGTGTATTGGGTATTTGTGCCAAATTTTGTCCAGTTAATGAAAGTATATTCTGCATGTCAGACATTTACATTACAATTCATAACAGTAGCAAAATTACAGTTATGGAGTAGCAACAAAAATAATTTTATGGTTGGAGGTCACCACAACATGAGGAACTGTATTAAGGGATCACAGAATTAGGAAGGTTGAAAACCACTGGCTAAGGTCAAGACCATTTATCAGGTCAACATAAGTTAAAGTCAACTTGAGGACAGGTAACAGCTACAACAAACCATATCCCCTAAGATAGGCTGGAGCAGTTTGCTCTTACCTGAGGCTGGATGTACACTGCCATATAATCCAGATCATCTACGTTGAATTGCAGTATAAGAGTCAACACTTAGACACTTCAAAGCAGATAATCTGGATTCAGAAACTGGATTATATGGCAGTGTAGACGGGATCTGAGCCTATAAGGAAGGGTAAGATTCTGTCCGCTCCTGTCATCTCCTCTTTATCTTAACACAGGGCAAACTACTTTTGCACGTTGAATTCCATTTGCAGTAATGAAAGTAAACTAAGGAGAAAGGGGGGAAAGTAGAAGGAGAAAGTGGAACATTGTGAAACCAGCTGAGAAAGTGGAACAATCGAGAATTAAGCAAGACTTCCCTGCTGAATTGGGACAATTAGAGGATATGTATCTTATGGCAGGGAATCCCACAACTTTTACCAAACTGTCCCGCTGTATACCTTCAGCAGATGAACCCACTGGGGTTTGATAGTATGAGACAGAGAAGCAAAAGGTCTCCAAGACCCCTTTTTTCCACCCCAGGTACCATTTCACATTCCTTTTGTTCTGTATCAGACAAGGAAACCAACCTTGGGTTCATGTGCACAAGGCATGGGCAAACTTTGGCCCTCCATGTGTTTTGGACTTCAACTCCCACAATTCCTAACAGCCTCAGGTCCCTTCCTTTTCCCCCTCAGCAGCTTAAGCTGTAAGGCTACTCAATGCTAACCAGGCTTGCTAATTGTGACATTCACACTTTCTTCAAACAGACAAGGGTTCTTTCTCTCACCCTGGACATTTCATACACACACACCCCTTGTGTCATTTCTAACAGACCTCTGAAGATGCTGGCAACAGATGCAGGTGAAAACTCAAGAGGCAAAGCTACTGGAACATGGCCATACAGCCCAAAAAACTCACAGCAACCCAACTTGATGTTAAACAGCGGTTTGACAGTTCTGCCTTGGAAATGGTGTAGTCTCCTTCTCTGAAGGTTTTTTTTAGCAGAGGGTGGATGGCCATCTGTCAGGAGTGCTTTGGTTGTATTTCCTTGCATGGCAGAATGGGGTCGAATTGAATGGCACTTGGGATCTAGCTTTGTGATTCTATGATTCTGTCATTATTTTGGTCTCTCACCCCCCCCCCCCCCCCCCCCGTTCTTTCCTCCTGTGTCTTCCTTTCCACCCAGGGTGCATCCCCATTGTAAAATTAATGCAGTTTGGCCCCACTTTGAACTGCCATGGCTCAATGCAATGGTATCCTGAAATGTGCAATGGCTCCCGAAGTGCCCCATTTAAAGTGGAATCAGGTGTCAAACAGGGAGTGCAGCATATTTCCAAATGAAGCAGAGAGTGTTTGAGGATTTTGGGACATCCGTAGGGAGACCAAGGTGCTTGTTCATAAAGCTATTGTCCTCCCAACCCTGCTATACGCCTGCAAAACGTGGACTATCTACAGACGTCACATGCAACTCCTAGAATGATTCCATCAGTGTTGCCTCGGAAAAATCCTGCAAATCTTTTGGGAAGACTGACGGACAAATGTCAGTGTGTTGGAAGAAGCAAAGTCCACCAGCATTGAAGTGATGGTCCTCCACCATCAACTCTGCTGGACCGGCCACGTTGTCCAAATGCCCGATCATTGTCTCCCAAAGTAGTTGCTCTACTCTGAACTCAAGAATGGAAAATGGAATGTTGGAGGACAGGAAAAGAAATTTAAAGATGGGCTCAAACTGGCATAGAGACTGAAAACTGGGAAGCCTTGGCCCTTGAGTGCTGTAGATGGAGGTCAGCTGTGACCAGCAGTGCTGTAGAATTTGAAGAGGCATGAGTGGAGGGTGAAAAGAAGAAACATGCCAAGATGAAGGCACATCAAGCCAACCCTGACCGGGACTGCCTTCCATCTGGAAACTGATGTCCTCACTGTGAGAGAACATGCGGATCAAGAATAGGTCTCCACAGCCACCTATGGACATGCCACCAAGACACCACATCTGAAAGACAAGCACCAGAACTGTGGTGCAGCTGGTGCACTGGGACTGTAGCGCATTAAGGTAGCTGCATTAAGATGACTACTGACCAAAAAGTCATGAGTTCGAAGCCAGCCTGGGTCAGAGTGAGCTTCTGACCAATTTGTGTAGCTTGCTGTCGACCTTTGCAGCCTGAAAGACAGTTGCATCTGTCAAGTAGGAAATGTCAAGTAGGAAATGTAGGTACAGCCTATGCGGGGAGGTTAATTTATGACATAAAAATCTCCAGCAAGCATACAAAGAATGAGGAAGTACTTCATCAGTGTCACAAATGGACGGTGAAGCGACAGCTCCCCTGGTGGCCAGAATACCCTCATGAAAAAGCTGGAATGTTAATTTCCCTCTGTGTCTGTCTATATATGTTGTGTGTCTGTGGCACTGAATGGAGTCAGAATGTATTAATTCTACAATATAGACCAGGTATGGGCAAACTTGGGCCTTCCAGGTGTTTTGGACTTCGACTCCCACCATTCCTAACAGCCTCAGGCCCCTTCCTTTCCCCCCACAGCTGCTTAAGCAGCTGTGGGGGGAAAGGAAAGGGCCTGAGGCTGTTAGGAATGGTGGGACTCGAAGTCCAAAACATCTGGAAGATCCAATTTGCTCATACCTGGTCTACACCGTGGAATGAATGCAGTTTGACAGTACTTTTAACTGCAGTGGCTGAAGGCTAAGGCTTCCTGGGAGCTCTAGTTTGGCATGGCTTTTCAGAGAAGCCCCAAAGTCCTTCTGGAGACTCTCCACAAGCCCAGAGATGCCCCATCCCTGAGCCCTGGCACTTCAAGGGGGGCCAAGCTGCATGTCTTCCAGGGTGGAGAGATGCTGCGCCCTCGGAGTCTCCAGAGCAGCAGAGAGGAGGAAGCTGAGCTGGTTGCCCTCCCTTCCCTCCTTCCCTCGGCCCTTCCCCGCCTTACCTGCGAAGCCCCTTCGGAAGAGGAGCTCCTCTGCAAAGCCAGCGGGCACTGCTGGGACATCCTGGGCGGAGAAGCCTCCGAAGAGCCTCCAATTGGGTCCCGAAAGAAGCCGAGAGAGCAAAGCGTGCGCCTTGAAGGAGGAGGAGGAGGTTTGTCTGTGTCTGCTGCGGCGCCTGAACTCGGAAACCCCGGGCAGGCGCGTCCCGGCAGCCGGTTCCGCCCGGTTTCACAGAAGCCCCGCCGGATTATCCCTCGGGCTCCCCTTCGGCGCCGGAGACAACGCAGGAAAAGCCCTGCCGAGGAGAGCCGGAAAGCGCCGCCTCCGCCGCCTCTCCTCCCTGGATGGAAATCACGTGGCGGGCTTTGAAACCTCGGGAGGGAACTTGGGGAGTTTGCACCTCCGTCTACACGGGAGCGGCACCGCGCGGACTGCCCTGGCTCAAGGAGTTGGACTGAACTCCCAAGGAGTCCGAGCAGTTCGAGCTCCATTCATTCTCTACCCAGGGGAGAAGAGGGAGGCCAAGGTGCCCTGTGGCTAAGGGTTGGCACGGGACTGGTGGGTCTGCTCCGTTTTCCCCGGAGATCCTTCTGTAAATGAACTCTTTGCCTTTCTTTTTAAACCAGGTTTGGGCAAGGTGTGGGCACTGGGCAGGATGTGGTCCCCCGGGTGGTTTTGACCGCTTTCAGTCTCTCGGGCTGGCAAAGGGAGGCAAGGTGGAAGGGAAGGGAAAGAAGGAAACTACAAGAGAGGAGATTCCATCTGAACATGAGGAAGAATTTCCTGACTGTGAGAGCCGTTCAGCAGTGGAACTCTCTGCCCCGGAGTGTGGTGGAGGCTCCTTCTTTGGAAGCTTTTAAACAGAGGCTGGATGGCCATCTGTCAGGGGTGATTTGAATGCAATATTCCTGCTTCTTGGCAGGGGGTTGGACTGGATGGCCCATGAGGTCTCTTCCAACTCTTTGATTCTATGATTATGAAGGAAGGAAGGAAGAGAAAAGGAAGGAAAGAAAGAAGGAGAGAGGGGAGGAGGGAAAGAAAGAAGGAAGGAAGGAAGGAGGGAAAGAAGGACAGAGGGGAGGAAGAAACAAACGAACAAAGGAAAGAAGGAAGGAAAGGAAGAAGGAACGAAAGAAGGGAAAGAAGGAAGGAATAAAAGAAAGAAGGAGGGAGAGAAAGAAAGAAAGAAGGAGGGAGGGAGGGAAGGAAGGAATGAACAAATGAAGGCAAGAAAGAAGGAAGGAAAGAAGGACAGAGGGGAGGAAGAAACAAACAAACAAAGGAAAAAAGGAGGGAAGGAAGGGAAGGAAGAGAAAGAAAGGAGGAAGAAAGGAAGAAAGAAGGAAGAGGGAAGGAAGGGAAAGAGGAGAGGAGGGAGAGGAAGAAGAAAGATGAGGAAGAAGAAGGAGAAGAAAAGAAGGACAGAGGGGAGGAAGAAACAAAGAACAAAAGAAAGACGGAGGGAAGAAACGAAACAACAAAGGAAGGAAAGAAAGAAGGAGAAAGGAGGAGGGAGGAAGGGAAGGAAGGAAAAAGAAAGAAGGAGAAGGGAAGGAAGGAAATAAGAGGAGGAGGGAAGGAAGAAAAAAGAAGAAAGAGGAAAAGGAAAGAAAAAAGGAAAGAAAGGATGGAGGGGAGGAAGAAGGAAGGAAGGAAGGAAGGAAGGAAGGAAAGAAAGAAAGAAAGGAAAAGAAAGAAGAAAGAAGGGAGGGAGGGAGAGAAGGAAGGAAGGAAGGAATGAAAGAAGAAGACAAGAAAGAAGGATGGGAAGAAGGCAGTAGGGAGGAAGGAAAAAAAAGAAGAAAAGGAAAAGGAGGGAGAGAAAGAAAGAAAGAAAGGGGAGGGAAGGAAGGAATAAACAAATGAAGGCAAGAAAGAAGGAATGAAGGAAAGAAAGAAGGGAAAGAAGGAAGGAAAGAAAGAAGGAGAGAGGGGAGGAGAGAATGAAAGAAGGAGGGAGGGAAAGAATGAACAAAGGAAAGGAAGTAAGGAAAAAAGGAGGAAGGACAGAAAGAGGGAGGGAATGTAGGATAGAAAGAGAGAGGGAAGTAAAGAAAGAAATAAGGAGGGAAGGAAAGAAGGAAAAGAAAGAAGGGAGAGAAGATAAGGAAAGAGGGAGGGGAAGAAGAAAGGAAAGAATGGAAGGGAGATTGATTAATTTTTCTGGAAGTCTCTAAATTAGACTGCCACCCAGCATGCTTAGCATCAAAAAAGTTTTCAAGATGAAGTTTTTAAAAAAATAGAATAATTGAATTGGAAGAGATCCCAAGAGCCAACCAGTCCAATACTGGACTGTAGAATGAATGCAGCTTTACTTTCCATGTTTCAATGCAATGGAATTTTGGGAGCCGGAGATTGGTGAGGCATCAGCTCTCTTTGATAGAGAAGGGAATAGATCAGATCTTTTCATGCTTTGCATGTGGGTGACACACTTTTTAGACATGTCCCTTGTGGGTCTCTTCCAACACTAGCAAAGTATAGACTGCCCGGGAGTCCAGCAGGGTATCCCTCTCTAGCGCTTTTGGAACCGAGACTGGGTCGCTCTCTTACATACCTTGCAAAGCTGTCCTTTCCCCCCCTTTTCAGGGCACTTTAACACTCATTGTGGCCTTCCATCCTTCATCCCAGGAGGACCATTTCATCCTAAAGCTCGTGAAAGATTGCACAAGAAGCTAGACAACCAATGCTAAGGAGACCCTCCTTGTTCTTCTCTTTGTCAGAACGTGTTGTTTCCCATGAGTGAGTGGAGTGGCGCATTGTAGGAAGTGAGAGAGAAAGCTTTGACACAAACCCTGGCCAAAAATACATTGGCACTGTCACTGTGGTCTGTGTTGGGGTGCACCGTGGACCAAACCAGAAGGGACAGGATTTGAATCAAAGGAAAAAAATTATGAAGTCTGGTAAAAAGGAGTGCTTTCTAGGTGGCAGTCGTGATCGTCCTTTCCTGCTTGTATTCCTGGACTCTTGTGTGGTGCGGTGGTCATGGGTGTTTCCAGGCCTGGAGTACAACAATCACCTGTATACTAATAAATATCATAAGGTTTTCTTAGGCAAGGGATACTCAAAGATGGCTTCCAGCTTCTCCCTCTGAAATATAGCCTGTTATTTGTTGTCGGTCTCCCATCCAAGTACTAACCAGGACTGACCCTGCTTAGCTTCCAACCTCTAATTTATTTTACTACAAGGAAGGGAGTTTCCAGTTAAAGATCTTAATTCTGCCTCTATCAACTCCACCTGTCAGAGAAAGTAAATTGTATTCCATCAAGCCATTTCTGATGTGTGGTGATCCTAAGACCAAACTGATCACAGGGTTTACTTGGCAAGATTTATTCAGAAGGGATTTGCCATTGCCTTCCTCTGGGGCTGAGAGAGTGTGACTCACCCATTGAATTCACCCTGGAAAGAAAGCAATGCTGCAGTTTGCCTCTCTTCTACCGGACCCAAATAATGGCATTGGCACTTATATAATATAGGAAACTGCTGTATATCAAATGGAGACAATTTGTCAGATTTCAGAGGCTTTGAGCCACGTATCTCCTAATTCTTGACTATATTCTATGGATGCAAGAGCTTCTGAGAGTTGTAGCTTTTCATAGAATCCTTGAGTTGGAAGAGACCTTGTGGGCCATCCAGTCCAACCCCCTGCCAAGAAGCAGGAAAATCGCATTCAAAGCATCCCCAACAGATGGCCATCCAGCCTATTTTAAAGCCTCCAAAGAAGGAGCCCCCACCACAATCCGGGGCAGAGAGTTCCACTGCTGAACACTGGTTTCAAACATGATCCTTTCCCAGCCACAACTGGAAAACCCAAGGACTGCACCTGGAAACGTTTGCATGCAAAATATGTATCTTTATGTGCTTTCCCCCAATGGGCTGAAAAGAAGAAACCATAGTCTCATTTTCATATGAAGTGACCACACCACAACTTCAGATTATCATAATTTGTGAAGTCGTTATGAGACTTTCTAAAGTGACAATCACATTGAAGCTGCATATCTGAAAACTTCATAGTCTGTGTCCCTACTAAAAGTTGGTTCAAAATAGTTGTGGAACTACCAGGGGTAAATTAATTTCAGATAGCAAGCAGTGAAAATGCACTGTATAGAAATGTCTGTGATCCAAAGACCCTTTGCTTGTCTTGAATGTTAGGTATACCCATCATCACATTATGATGTGAAATGCAAGCTGCTGTCTTTTGATAAGCTCTCCTGCAGCAGACTTGAGCTATATTAAGAAAAGAGCCAGACGTCTTCTGATGCAACACCAGTTTAAGTCCAAGTTAAAAATAAAATAAACTTGAATGTTGTAACATTTCAAGCAAAGGAAGGATTTTACACTTTTTGCATTGACTCCAAACTGGAAAGCTGAACACACTGTTGCATATTATTTGACACATCTAATATGCAAGTTTTTTAAAAGTATCATCACTTTGCTAAGCAAGGTTCTTCATGCAGCAGGCCCTCCACATTTGTGGTTTAGACATTTGTGGATTTTATATTCTTGGATTGGAGTAATATGTTTTTCTAGGGATCGTTGGGTCCTCCTGTGTCAACTATGGGAAATTCTTCTGGAAGTTTGCCATATAATTTGACCATAGAATTGAAACAAGAGACCTAGATTCACAAGTAGATGTTTTCCTATATTTAAAAAATAGTGTTTTAAAATCCCATTTTGACAAAGATCTTTTACCCTCAGCCCCAGGAAATGTGCATATTTGAACTACCATCCAATAGCTTCTTTAAAGCCAGTGTTACTCTTATCAAAACTCAAGGACTCTATAAGAAGAAAATGATACCCAGGCTGGGAAGAGCTTGGAAGATATATTATTTATATATACTTTTTCCTTTTTCTTTTGCTATCACCTTCACAATATTCCCCCTCTTTCCTTGTAAACACAACTTTGTATTGTCGAAGGCTTTCATGGCCGGAATCACTGGGTTGTTGTAGGTTTTCCGGGCTACATGGCCATGTTCTAGAGGCATTTTCTCCTGACATTTTGCCTGCATCTATGGCAAGCATCCTCACTACCTCTGAGGATGCTTGCCATAGATGCAGGCGAAATGTCAGGAGAAAATACCTCTAGAACATAGCCATATAGCCCGGAAAATCTACAACAACCCAACACAACTTTCTTTAATAAAAATTATATTTAAAAACCTGACTGAATATTTTCATGATTCTTGCATAAACCAATTGCTGTGCTTACTGCAAGTCACTTCTGGTGTGAGAGATTCAGCTGTCTACAAAGACACTGCCTGGATGTGTACTATCCTGCGGGGAGGCTTCTCTGACTTGGCTCTTAATGAGACATGCTGCATTATCACAGAATGTCTACACCCGGCACCGTTGGATAAATTACGTTTTTTAGGTGGTACTACACCACCTGATATTCGACCGGAAGTAGCAGCCAGCATTGAAAGCACTAAGGCATTGACATCTCAGGCCCATCCTCTGTTCGGATATCAGCCAGGAAGCCAACACCTTAAATCAACAGCTTCCTAAGATCTACAGAGATACTTGCAGGAACACATCAGCAAGTGAGAGTCTAAAAATGGCAGGCTAAAGCCTGGAACCTCAATCACTGGCTGATGCTGGATGAGAAACTTGCTTTAAGCTCCAATAAATAATTTCATGTCACTCATCGTCAGATCAAAATGTTTCTGTGCTTCAGTTTACACATTTCAATTCATATGTCACTTTATTTCAGTGTCTCTGGGATGTCAGATTGCATTATTGCATGGCAAGGAATTTCGTCCGTTATATGTAAGCAATGTTTGGTGTTTCTACATAGCATATTCAGCTAAAAGGCATTGTGAAGCAACTTTTCTTGCTTAAATGGGTTTACTATAACAAGCAAAAAGCAGTAGCAGGAATAGTATTGGAAAGTTCAAGCGGGACTATTGTGCAACCTCTGAGGATGTCTGCCACAGATGAAGGTGAAACATCAGGAGAGAATGCTTCTAGAGCATGGCCATACAGCCCCCAAAAACGACAACAACCCAGTATAGTGTTTGTCTCAAAACATTTTATCTTTAGGGAGAAATAGTGAGATCTTTGTGAAAAGAAGCACAGAGCACGCTTGGACTCTGGTGAATTTAGTTAAATTATATCACTAATAGAATTCTCAAAAAACATTTGAAAACCTGATTTTAGATTTAAAAGTTGAAGTGCTGTCACTTACATTTTTAAGGAAACATGTATTAAAGGTTCATTTGATCAGTGACAGAATGGTGACATCAACATTCAGAAAATCTATTTCTGGAATTAATTAAAGCCATTGGGGTTCATAATATCCACCTTTAAAAGAAAGCCAGTAATCGATTTCCTTATCATGGTATTTGACATAATAGTAATCTTATGTCTACATAACAGGGAGCCCCCTTAATAAATTTTTTCTCCATGTCAGGAGTGACTTGAGAAACTGCAAGTCGCTTTTGGTGTGAGAGAATTGGCCATCTGCAAGGACGTTGACCAGGGGATGCCTGAATGTTTTGATGTTTTACCATCCTTGTGGGAGGCTTCTCTCATGTCACTGCATGGGGAGCTGGAGCTGACAGAGGGAGCTAATCTACGCTCTCCCCAGCTTTGAACCTCCAACCTGTCGGTCTTCAGTCCTGCCGGCACAAGGGTTTAACCCATTGTTCCACTGGAAATAATACAGCAATTCATGTTAAATTTTCAACAAAATACAAAAAATACAAAAAGCAGTATTTTTATTAGCCAATCAAAATGCCCGACACATGATGCCACCTTTTGAAGCTCTATTATTGTTTCCAATCAAAAATAAGAAAAAAGTGATGGTGTTGCAGTTACAGACCTACATTTTGTCTTAGATGTTGTTTCGTTTGGATTTTGTCTTTCTGCATGGACAACGAAGTTAGCCCTCTGTAAGTTTTGTTGTTAGTTTTCAAGATGATTTGGCATGGAATAAACACTGGACCTAAAGATGGTTGCTTGGAGAATTTGTCAGATAGAATTTTTAAATTTTTATCTCTTAACATGCATTGGCAAAACAGTGTTACTGGAAAAATACGAGATGCTTAAAATAAACAACCTTTGAAACATGAACATCATAGAATACAGAAATTGTCACTTTGATTTGCATAACATATATACTGGGTGTTGCCTAGGTGTCAGGGGGCTGATGTCCCCGTTTTCATCCCTTCTTTCCTTCCCTCATACCTTTGCCCTTCCCCTCTTTCTCCTTTCTCCAGCTCTGAGGACCTACCTCATATTGTCTCCATATAAACATTTATTTATTTATTTACAGTATTTATATTCTGCCCTTTTCACCCCAAAAGGGACTTCGGGCGGATCACAATGCACACATACATGGCAAACATTCAACGCTGTTTTTCTAGACATACAGACTGACAGATAAGACGTATTTTTGGCATTTCCACTTTGGTGCCTGGAGGTTATGCTTGATTCCAGCCACAGGGAGAGCTGTTGCTTAATCCACCATGACACCGAGTCATTTTGATATTTCCTCCTTGCTTTTGACCGCTCACATTTTTTTATGGTGTCGGAAAATGCCTCCCCGTTTTAAGCGGTCCCTAATTTCTCTACTCACAACTCAGCTGTTTTTGAACTGCTTAGGTGGACAGTAAGCTAGACTTAACAGTCAGGTGCTCCATCCAACTCGGGCTTTGGACCTGTCACCTTCCTGTTGGCAGTGCTCTATTGCAGCTGGAGATTCCTTCCTTCCCCTCATACATGTCACATTTCTGTCTCTGTGACACCACAGCCACTTCACCTAGTAAGCACCAATCCATCACATAGCAGCAGCCAATCTGGTGACATCACAGAGGGCCACTTTACCTAGCCTTTGTGCTACAAACAAACATAATTTGACTTTTATATAAAGATGGAACAAGCAGCCAATACTGAATATGTTTAGCAGCCAAAGTTCTCATGTCAAGGTGTGAACAGCATAATAAAATGTATGTCTAAACATTAGAATCCAAAGAACTGAATTTAATTTAAATCCAGTGAAGTTTCTTGTTTTATCTTATGCAAAAACAAACTATTTATAGCAGTGCTCTGATTCAAGAGTAAATTTCCATGTTGCTTTATGGGGGGAAAATTGTGGTGCAGCAGGTTAAACTGCTGAGCAGCTGAACTTGCTAACCGAAACGTTGGTGGTTCAAATCTGGGGAGTGGGGTGAGCTCCCGCTGTTGACCCAGCTTCTGCCAACCTAGCACTGGTGATCCTCACTCTCAGATATTTATTTTATGGTGGCTGTTGCTTTATTGAAACGATGCAGTCATGGATTGCCCTTGTTTTAGTACTGATTTCCATACACATTTTTTCAACTCAGCAGGTGTTTTCAAAACTAATCAGAAATATTCTGGTGACACGTGGTGCTTTAAGACAGAATTTGAATATAAATCCAACAGTTCAGTCTTGAGAAGTGTGGGTATAAAAAGAAAGCTTTATATACAAATATACATTTTACAGAAGAGACAAATGAAATGTACAGAAAACAAACGCTACTCCACTGAGACATGTATTTAACATAAAATGTCAGGAATGAAATATAGAGCAATTTCTTGGTCATTTGATTAGTTACTTGACAAAAAATACAAACAAACAATAATAATTTTATTCACATAAAATCTTTTTTGCCCATTTAGAAACAATGCTATCCCCAGTGAAACTAATTAGTAGAAACGAAAACAATACTTTTAAGTGCCAATTTTGGAAATTCCAAAAAGCTAACTTTTTAGTGCAGTTATGGTATGTATATAAATGAATGGACTCTTTTTAAAATACAGGGGATTCAGGATTTTGGTGGACAGGATAAGACAGAAGATTGAGCTTTTTTAAAAAGGCAGAAACAATTAATCTACAGATGCCTCTGTGATAGTTTCGGTACAAGCCAAAGAAGCATTATGTGCTGTTTTAAAGCAAGCACAGAGACATATAGTGCCAGCTTCTAAGCATGTAAAGTCCAGCAATTCCAACTTAAGAACTGCCTCTTTAGAGATCTCCCTGGATATATGTCAGCTTAGCACCATCAATTATAAGGTTATAGTTTTTAAAAGTGACCTAGAAAATACCATCACTTACTTTTAAGAAAACACAGATATACATCTATATGGAATTCACCTGAGAAACAGCATAGTTTGATTTTTTCCCCCACACGAATTCTAGAATAAGAGTGCTTTAAACAATTGTAATGCAATACACAGAGTAGTGGTCAGAATCATATTAGGCAGTTCGGAGTATTTGCAATTCCTACATAGTTCTTAGTAGAGACTGCGAAAATCCCAATGGGATCAAAAGGAATCCATGCCCTTGTAGACAAAAAGTAGCTGACTGATGTTCCCATCCCCTTCGTGTGAGTGACAGGGGCCTTTTCCTTGATTGAGAGGAACAGAACTCCATCACAGCTTACCAGTAAGTGGGGCTTGAGAAGTGAGTCTGGAGAGGATCCATTACATAGCTCCACAGTTATGGTGTTACGCAATACGCAATGGTCATATGGGATCATAGCTATTAATCCTAAACTGGCTTTTCACTGAAAATCCAGTATGTGTATTGAGGACCATTCTGATTCTAATTTAAGATATATGTATTAATACCAGACTGAAATATGTACCACTAGATTGTTTTAATGTAAAAGCAACATACTATGGAAATGACTATTTCCTTTAGCATTCCAAAGGAGATATATATATTCCAAGCTGCTTGAGAAAACCAATTGTTTGGCAGCAAATCTGGGACAGGGTGATTGGGTCTCCACTTAACAATGTTGAATTAAGGTGTTGTGGACAGAAGACGAATTAAGATGGACATATGTACTATTGAAATAAAAAAACAGTTGCAAAAGAGAAATCTGGGGACAAAACAGCAGGTGTGGGAAGGATTAAGTGGCCCTGTTGAATTACAGCCCTTCCGCCAAGTCCTTTTTTGATGTTTAGTGAAGGATCCATCTGAAGCAAGGCATGTTGTGATCCACATGGCCCTTTTACACGTATCTAAGTCACTGGGTATTTGTAGCTGGGTTGGGACCTGTCTTTCCTTTTCCTTTTTTTTTTTTGAAGGCAGATACTTAGTGCAAAACTGCTCTTAAACACACAGGACTACTGACTCATGACATGGAATCTTCTCCTTGGATGATGAACCAGAAACTTGAGCATCCTAACACATAGCTTTCTACACTGTGCAATTACTCACTGGAGAACAACTCCAGCTTTTGTAAGAAACACAGGGTTTCGTTGCTGCCCGTTTTGTTATGGAGCAGCTCCAGGTTTCCATTTCCAAGAAAAATGCTCAAATTTAATTCAGCATATGCATAAGCACTCAATGTAATATTGAGAGCTATGAGAATATCTAGCAATAGGTTCCTCCACACTACCATCTGAGATCTGTGTCATTGTACAGTTTCCAAAGGACACCACCTTGGGTGCGTTGGCAGTTTGTGCTTAGTTGCTGCAGACAAAATTCATATATAAAAGAGGAAGGTTATAAAGCTATGCAGCTGTCCTCAAGTATCGAGATTGATCTTTCTTTGTCGAAGTGGATAGCGATTCTGTGGGGGATGCAACGGTCCCTTTATTTTGAGCAGAACAGAGTTACTACTAGCAGTTGGTGGGAGTGTGACTTCCACTTGTGATGCGAGGTCTTTGACATCGATTTTGTTCTCTTTTTTCCCTTCTGAGCCAGAGACAATTTCTTGGTCAAGTTCGTACGGTTCCAAAGTTGGCTGCAGAGATACAGCTTTTGAGAAACCTTCCGCTTTTCCCACAAGGAGCGACAAAGACTAAGGTAATGTGCATGAAGGGGTGGAGAAAAAAAAAGAGAAAACATTTAAGACATTAGAAATTAGGTAGTGTGTATTGCCATTTATAAATATCAATTTATAAAGACAATTTCGGTCAGCATGTAAAAATTAACAAGAAAAATCATAACTCAGAAACCAGTAAGATAGCTGACAGAATAACATTTAATTTCTTCTAGAGAATTACCATATATACTTGAGCATAAGCAGAGGTTCTTTAGCCCTTTTTAAGGCTGGAAAAGCCTCCCCTCAGCTTATACTCGAGCCAAGGTTATTTATTATTTTACATTATTTTTATTATAATTTATTGATTTATTTTATTACATTTATTATTTTACTCTATTTATTATTGTTACATTTATTATTCTATTCTATTACTGTTATATTTATATTTTACTCTATTATTACTTTTATTATTACATTTCCATTCTTTTACACTATTATTATTATTATTATTACATTTATTAATTTACTCTTATTATTGGAAGGCTACATAAGCACATTTACACTGAAGAAGGTTAGAATAATTGTTTAATCAGAGTTGGACAGTCTTATCTTACATTACAGATTTATATAAATATTCAAAAACATTTAACCAACTGATGCCTCAATTAATGTAATTTTATTGGTATCTATTTTTATTTTGAAATTTACTAGTAGTTGCTGCCACTCCCACCCTTGGCTTATACTTGAGTCAATACGTTTTCCCAGTTTTTTGTGGTAAAATTAGGTGCCTAGGCTTATATTCAGGATGGCTTATGCTTGAGTATAGGTACATATGCAGTATTTCAATTACACAAAACCTATATGCTTATATTTTCTGAAGTCACATTAATAATGTATCTTAATAGCATCAATGCTCCATATTCCACAACAGCACAAAGGTGTTCTCAGTGCTATAGGTCAAACTATAAAACTCTCGTCTTGGGTTTCAAAGCTTAGGCATTTGTTCTGTTCAGCTAATATTTGACCAGAATTGAATTAGTTTCTGTTGTCATCAAAGGCTGGAGATTCAATACACAGAAGTATAAAATTATTTAAAAATTAAATTAGATGGCTTCATGTTAAATTTTTGGTATTTCAAATACAACACAAAAAACTAGTAATCCTTAGTTTAATGATAGAAAAGATTTCACATTATTCTTTATTACCTTTGAACCAGCTTTTACATATTCACAATCCTAATAGGCTAGCTATACAAACTGGTGAGAATAAAAACTCAACTGTTAAGAACCCTAATAATCTTGATTCAGTCCTAGATACAGCAATATCTAAATAGGCCCAATTACCCGAACGATTAATAAGCACTGTAGTAACGATACAGGTTTTTCAACCACAATTACTAGTTTTTATATTAAAAAGCATAGGACTGCATAGGCTTCTGCTTCAGCGGGAGGCCTATGGCTTTGTTTGAAAATAGGTTAAATGCTTTGACTTGATAAGAACCACTGGGTTGGATCCAGGTCTTAGAAAAGACAAATGAATACTGACTGAATATAGATCTAACCCATTGTCTGATTTTATAAATCTTACCTTAAATGATTCTTCAATGTGTCTCATGGCATTTTTTGTGGCAAGACTCAAATCTGCCATATGCAAATCTGAAAGGAAAGAGAATAATTTCACAAGCTTTGTGGAAAGATAAAATGGGAAAAAGAAGAGTTGCCTACTACTTGGTTGGGTTATTTTAAAGCAGGAAAATTAAAATAAACCACTATCATGGGCAGTCGACAACATTTCTAATGTATTGTCAAAGACTTTTATGGCCGGAATCACTGGGTTGTTGTGAGTTTTCCGGGCTATATGGCCATTTTCTAGAAGCATTCTCTCTTGAAGTTGATGAACTGAAAATGAACAAAATCTGGCTACCAGTATTAAAAAAAGCTCTAAAACCAGGACAGTAAATAAAGAACAACACTCAGAAAACAGGGGAATTCCAGACAGGAAATAATCAGCTCCAACGAATACCTCTAAATAAAGGATTCTCCCAGGCAACAACCAGCCAGGCTTTGAAGTTGCAAGGCCATCAAATGATAATCAAGGTGGTCAATTGCAACATTCACACCTGCCTCCAGCAGACAAGAGCTCTTTTTCCCACCCTGTACATTCCACAGATATATAAACCCAATTTTCCTAGTTTTCAACAGACCTCACAACCTCTGAGGATGCCTGCCATAGATGCAGGTGAAACGTCAGGAGAGTGCTTCTGGAACATGGCCATACAGCCCAGAAAACTCACCACAACCCAACATTTCCAATACTTAAAACAGTTTTAAAATATCCAATTTCACTGAAAAAAACATCAACATTTCCTTTGGTCTTCTGTCGATACCTAGCTGGCAATAAAGATGTAATAACCCAGTGTCCTTGACTACAGAGCATAAGGTGGACCAGAATTAGGTATGACTATTGAAACAACAATCCTTTCTTAGCAAAGTTAATAGCTACACAGTTCCATAAGCAACCAAAAGCAAAAGTAAACTGCAAGTAGCTTCAAACCAGCTTTAGTTTTCACTCACTGAAATGACAACTATTCTCATCTTAACAGAAACTTAGCATGTGAAATAATTTAACCCTAAAAGCCAAAAGCGGAAAGCCCATTCACTGCAAACCGAAAACCTTCTGTTGGGTCAGGCCTTCAGAATGGGAGCTTTTAGGATGTGGGGTTTTAAAGTTGAAACCATTAAAAATATGGAAAACGAAATTAAGTAGAAATGACTTTTAAAGTAGTTTCCCTTACATTAAAAACAACGCGTGCAATTAAACTGGTGCAATGACAACAGTTCACCCAGAAAAGCACAGTGGGATCAAAGGCAGCCGTGCCCATAACATAACACTGCAACAGCAGAGAAGACAAAAGTCCCTGAAACTTTCTGGGTCACACATCACACAACTTCATTCAAGAAAGGAGGTGCATGAGAACAGAAACCTGTTACATCAACCAATACAGGCCGATGTGTTTCCAATAAAAAGTCTTTACAGGAAAGCATAGGATATTGCTTTCAGGAAACTGGTTACAATCCCTCTCAAAGTACTAGGTATTTAAAACAGAAACAGTTCCTGGATATTTGACACAAAATAGCCCAGGACCTGGGAGATTCAAGAACCAATATTATATGGTTGAGATTACCTCTCCAAACACCTGCCTGGTACTGTCACTTGTTTCATCTCCTTCCAGTACTATCTCTTCTAAACCTTGTTTCTATGAATTACCCTGCCTTGTTTTCCATTATCCTGTTGAAACCACAACTAAATACATGAAATAGAAATATACAAAACCTCCCTTAATTTATCTCAGTTCAATTACCATTCTGTGCTGTGAACAGATCTACTGAATCAGTAGAATTTACATAGGCGTTGACTTTCCAAAATACCATCAATTCTACTTTAGCTGGGACTAAACCCAATGTATTAGGATTTTTTAAAAAACAAGCTTTAGTTTTGTTTCATATGCAGACAGGTCTGGAAAGCTGGTAGTGTTAACCGATAAGTACAGAAGACCTGATGGTTAAAGGCACTTGGCTCAGAGAAAAAAAAAATCTGGCTAGGTTTGTCGTAAGTCGTAAACCACTTGAAGCACACATATCAACAAATAATGGCCTCTTCTGGTCCTAAAACAGTGGGGCCACAAAAGTGGTACAACTGCCCCCATCCCTACCTCTACAGTTTGGAAGCAGGTTAAGTTTTAATTGTGTTATATTTCCGGTCCATCCCCTGTTCCGATATCAGCCAGCATGCCCATGTCTTAAATCAAGAAACAGCTTCCTAAGATCTATCTACAGAGATACTTGCAGGAACACCCCAGCAAGCAAGAGTCCAAAAGTGGCAGGTTAAAACTCGGAACCTAAATCAGTAGCTGATACTGGATGAGAAACACCCTCTTGGGCACACAGAAGACTGGGCGACTTGGAAGGTGCTGAACAGACTGCACTCTGGTACCATGACATCAGAGCCAATCTTAAGAAATGGGGCCACAAAGTGGAGTTCACAACATGCGAGTGTGGAGAAGAGCAAACCACAGACCACTTACTATAATGTAGTCTGAGCCCGACCACATGCACAATGGAGGACCTTCTTACAGCAACACCAGAGGCACTCTAAGTGGCCAGCTTCTGGTCAAAGGAAATTTGGTACAATGCCAAGTTTTTAACTTGTTTGCCATTTTTATGCACTATAACTGTATTCTCAGTTTGCTTCTGAAAAAGAGTTGTTTTGACATGATAAAAAGAGGATTACTATAGCCTGGATCAGATGTGCTATTCCCTCAAAGTGCTCGTTGTGTATATTTTGTTTTATGCTCTTGATAAATCCTTCCTCTCAGAAATAGAGCAGTTCTGATATATATTACAGGGATAGGTCTGCTCAAAGTCCTGCATATGCTTTTATTTTGGAACATGTGCAACTCACAGCTTTGTATGAAAAAGACATTTACTCATATCTCAAACTTTAGTCTGGAGCCTCCTCAAGAAGACCTAGCTTATTGTAATCTGCAATCAGAATCAACACTAAAGACACTATGGTGGAAATAAACTAATCTTTTGCCAAGAGTCTCTTGGATGAAACTGGCAATTTATTCCCTCTTAACCTTAGTTTTCTATTTATTAAAGGTTGTCACTGTTACAGCTCCCCAGTAGCACTGGACTGTTTTCATCTTAGACAGAAAAGTAGATAATTTGAACTTATCTAGCCCAGTATCTGTATAATACATAATTAACCAATGAGACCGTTACATATAAAAGGTATTTGGTATTTAGTAGCCGTGTTATTTACATGACTTTCAAAACACGGGGAAATGAAAAAAGGAAATGAAAGGTAGCGAGTGATCTGAATCTCTTTGGTTTCTGGCCAACGTAGCTACTAAATAGGGATACATGAATATCACAGAAACTATGTAAGTACAGTACACACATTCAATATAGCACATAAATCTGAGCAAAAAAAATGACAGGTAGGAAGCAGACTCTGTGATCACTGCTTAAGAAATTATAAAAGAACTCAACTGTGTGAGCAAATATTTACAGCTCTAGTTCAAAGTTATTTGCAGACTGACAATACTGAATTATTGGTACAAAGAATGTGACATGATTTCTGAGTTCCTGTTCAAAGAAAACTTCTTAAATCAATGACATATAACAAAATTCCATGTTGCTGCGAGATACTCACAGAAACACCTCAGCAAGTGAGAATCCAATAGTGGCAGACTAAAACCTAGAACTTCAATTCATGACTGATACCAAATGAGACTCCCCACTGGGCACACAGAAGATTGGACGATCTGGAAGGCGCTGAACAGACTGTGCTCTGGCACCACGAGATGCAGGGCCAATCTTAAGAAATGAGGCCACAAAGTGGAGTCAACGACATGCAAGTCTGGAGTAGAGCAAACCACAGACCACCTATTACAATGCAACCAATGGAGGACCTTCTTACAGCAACACCAGAGGCACTCCAAATGGTATTATAATGTCAAGTTTTTAAACTCTGTGTTTTTTTAAAATACATTACATCTGTATCCTCAGTTTGCTGATATGATAAACAAATAACAAAATTCCATATGCAGACAAATGTCTTACCGTCTGTCATTCCAGAAAATCTTCTCTTCTTCAAGTTTCCAAACAATGAAATGACATTTGCCATTTTGCCAAATCTCATGTAATTTCTTTCAAAGCAACTGCTTAAAGATTTCAACCTAGCTACATCTAGAACCTGACTCAAAAGCAGATTGTCACTAAAAATTAATCCCCACAATTTTGAGGCTAGTGAAGGAGAAAGTGCAGCCATAGGCTGGATGTAGCCCCTAAAACCTTCAAAACTGTAGGTTTTTCCCCCAGGAAAACATCTGTCCTCTAACAACCCCACCCCCCAAATAATACTGCCAAAGCAATTTAATGGACTAAAACAACACTACTCAAAATTTATAGAAGTGCTAAAAATCACCTGAAAAAAATCCTGAAGTACAAACTGGAAATGAGTTCCAAGTTGCACTTGCAGTTGAAAAATACAATAATTATATTAAGTGCAAGGCTGAAATATAACTTCACCACAGTTGCCCATCCCTGCCTTATATTCCGAGATTGTGTTTGGGTTCCAAATGGCAACTGTACAAATTCACGATTATTTGGAGGTGGGCAAATAGAAGAAGAAAGTCATTAAACATACAATTCTTGAAAAAGAGTTGTTTTGAACTAAAAAAGTGAGTGTTTTGTTCTCATTACTCTTTTACTAATTATGTAATAATAGGGCTTTGCAAAGCTCTTTCTAGCAATTATCTAACACTTTTCAGAGCTGGCTGTTCAGATTGATATCTCCCCCCCCCCCTTACTTTATATATCTATATTTATGTGCATACCTGCCACCCTAGGATAAAATTTTATATATTGATTATGTGTATTTGAATTGATAAACCTAATGGATTCAGTCTACTCCATAGCATTTAGACCACCCTTAAACACTTTAAACACAATGATATTATTTTAACAGACTAACAGCTACTCCTCTGGAAAAGAACAAATAGATTACAAGTTACCTTGAGAAGGTTTTGTTGTTATTTCTTGACGATTTCCTGAAGTTTGACGGCAGCCCTGCACAAACAAATGTACATATGAAGCATCTTCTACTGCCTTTGTGTACATTTTTTAATCTATTTTTCAACACAACAGCACAGCTTATTACAAAAACTGTTTCTTTTTTGTACAAAAGGGAAAGTCTAGTTTTAGGAAGTCAGGTTGTAGAAAATGTTTATTCAGCAGCATCAGGTATTTCAAAGCCTGGACCATTAAAAGCCAGGTCTATTTTGCTTTCTTATCTCAATGCAATTAAAAGCATATATAAACAGTGCCTTCTGTTGTACAGTTTAGGAATTACAGTAGGATAATTTTACAGTCTCTTAAAGTTCACATCAGAACCAAAGGTATATGCAAGAAACACAGGCCCTAAATACTATTTTTAACTCAGTCACAGTTGACCAATGAAATTAATGACATTTTTATAAGCATTGATTTACAATTCAACAACTGATTTAACAAGCTTACTCTTATTGGAAGCATGAACAGAACTTAGGTTGAAAAACTACCATCATTCCATGCCTATGACACAATTTGTGTACAAAGTAGATGCTGCATGCCTCCAATACAGGCCGAGTGTGACAGAAGAAGGAAATTTGATGTCACAATGATGTGCCAAACTGGGTATTACAGAGATGCTAGTTGCAGGAGCATCTCAATGGGATGTCTAATCTTAGTGTGGTAAACTGGTTAACTCTTAAGACTTTTAAACATGAAAAAAGCCTATGTTTAAAAATTAGTTAACTGTGAAACAGGTTGGATGATGTTGGGGAAGTCACCTGCCACACAGGACTATGATGAACATAAAAGGGCATAACACCCCCTCCCCTTTTAAACTCTGAAATTACCAAAGGAAGGTTGAGATATAAATGTTCTACTCTCCAAGGATTTTAAATATCACTTTATTTAAACATCTTAAACCAAAATTTATATGAAACCTCAGATTATGCTACCAAGCAATTTTTACCAACGGGAATATTTCCTTAAAATTCAGGAGCTCCCTATTAGGAATTTATTTACTCAAGGAAAAGTTGCTAGCAGGAATTACTGTATATACTCAAATATAAGCCAAGTTTTTCAGCCCTTTTTAAGGATGAAAAAGCCCTCCTCGGTTTATACTTGAGTCGAAGTTATTTATTATTTTATTCTGTTATTGTTATTATTATTATGTTTATTATTTTATTCTATTTATTATTCTTATTATTACATTTACATTATTTGATTTTATTATTATTATTACTTTTATCTATTATTATTACATTTATTATTTTCTCTATTTATTATTGTTATTATTACATTTATTATTTTACTCTATTATTACTGTTAATATTACATTTCCATTATTTTACTCGCTTCTTCTTTTTCTTCTTATTATTACTGGAAGGATACGTATGCACATTTACATTGAAGAAGGTTAGAATAATGGTTTAATCAGAGCTGGACAGTCTTATCTTAAATTACAGTTTTATGTAAATATTCAAAAACATTTAACCTACTGATGCCTCAATTAAAGTAATTTTATTGGTATCTATTTTTATTTTGAAGTTTACCAGTAGCTGCTGCATTTCCCACCCTTGGCTTATACTCGAGTAAAAACGTTTTCCCAGTTTTCTGTGGTAAAATTAGGTGCCTCGGCTTATATTCGGGTCGGCTTATACTCAAATATATATGGGTAAAAGATGTACACTTAAAATAATAATAATAAGAAGAAGAATAAGAAGAAGAAAACAGTGTTAACTATTCCTCTTTTGAATTGTCTCTTCCTTTCCTCAGTTTTAAAGCCTCTGTGAAATAAATGTTTCCAGAAAAGACCAATGGATTACTGATAGTCATCAGCTAGGCATGCATAGCAACATAGATACTCTGCATCCCATTGGTTTGATCAGTTATAAAAACCACTTTAAATTCATATTAGTAACATTTGCAACAATCCAAGAAAGTAGGTTAGTGTTACTATAAAGAAGAGAAAGGCAGACAAGAGTATGGCCTGAAAAAGATCAGCTAGCAATCATGGCTGAAACACAGTTCGAACAGACAATTCTTACTTGAAACATTATAAATGCCTTTTTGGATACCTATAAACATATCTTAAAAAGAACTTTAAAGAGCATGACCTAGAAAGCATGACTTGGTGACTCTGAATGCTATTGATCAAAAAGGCATGTTTCCAAGCGCTGCTACTAATCTATCTGTAAGCAAAATGACTGATTTGAGTTTTCCTTTGAAATGCATATAACTTTCCCCAGAGAACCGAGAATTAGGTTTACTCACCAGCAATTTTTTCTTTGTTTTGAGGGCCTTGATAAGGTGAATTTTCACTTCCCTGGGATATTGACTACGCTTGGAAGCCACCTCTACTATTAGATCATCTAGCTTATCCTCTATGAGTTTGATAGTCATATCTAATTTAAAAGAAAAATATTAAACATTAACAAATGAAAACATCGTTTATTTGTAACATCTTTGCAAGAATGTACTTTGTTCCAGAAAGACTTAACTATATAAATAAGAGAAATATAAATTGATACATTTAAATAACTGCTGAAAAGAAGATGGAAAGACATCTTTATGTATCTTTCTTTTTCTTATGCTCTTTCATCTTTTCTCTCTTTCCTTTTCCTGTTTCTCTCCCTTTATGTATATTTTAATGTACTTAGAAATCTTCAAACGTATTAAAAGAAAAGAAAAATCAGTTCCTAGTAATGCTAAGAAATTGACAGATGAATTGTCTTCTTACTCTCTTCCCACAAAGAATAAGACATTAAACTTCAGTAAATGTTATTGGTTGACTCTGTGAATGAAGAAGTCATGGATACTGAGGTCTGAGTGTACCAGCCCTTTCTAATTTATTCTCTGCACTCACCTAGTGAGTCAGCAGATGGCAGTAAAGTTTAGCAATTCCCACTCTATAATTCTCAATCTACAGTTCTAACCTAAACTATTATAGACTGTAAGAATTTTGTATTCTAGAAATTTTAACTTACTGATATTTCATAAAATGATATCCAACTCTTGTGTTTTGGATACTATTATCCTTAACCACAATCAAAACTCATTCAAGGCTCAGTGCAGGTGTAACTCAGTTAACAAAGCCTCTAACAAAGAAAATACTGTAATTTTCACAAAGTGTTTTTGTTCTCTGATTAGCAGAATGTTTTTCAGCAGCCTTGGCATTAGGAAGATGATGAAAGACTTTCAGTGATACATTGCAGCAGGGTGTCTTGACTAATAATAATAATAATGATAATGATAATAATAACAACAACTTTATTTGTACCCTGCCCCATCTCCCAACAAGGGACCCGCAGTGACTTACAGACATGTAATAAACCATCCAATAACATAACCAATTACACAATCAAAATTAACACAAGACAGATCAAAGCAACAATGCAACTAAACAATACAACAGAGTTTGAGTTGAGAAAATGTGGGATCCTACTCTATTTCTTGCTACTGTAGTTGTGTATGCTTGCCTACAACAAGTAAACAATAGTGTGAACAGCAAAACAGAAAGGAAAGGGGGAAATAAGCAGGCCTCACCAGCTACCTCTAGCATCTTTTTTTGTGGTGTAGGAACCTATCCTTGTTTTTTCATGTTATTTCTGCCCTGATGATACATTTTCTGTTAAAGTAACTACTTTGTTAAATGAGTTATGCCTGTACTCAAATTTAAAAAGAATGAGCCCCTGTTAAAATCACTGGAATCAAGTTTCGATCCCCAGACAAAAGTCTTTACCAGCAACTTTCAGAGATTAAAAAATGGTTTTGATTAAGCACATTTAGGGTTGAAGAACTCTCAGCTGGAAGGGATCCTATTATCTTTTTCCCAAATGTTCATTTATCCAAATATCTTTGACTGAATTGTCCTGAGCGCATGAAAGTTGGAACCTGAAAGAAGAGGACAAGTTCCTTTACCTAATTCACATTAGCTTAGTTTTCTCTCAAACACTTCCATGCAAAGTGATCACAATGGGTGTTTCTAAACAATGAGATTATCCATTGATGAGATTATTCTACTGCACGAAAAAGTAATTCCATTGATATATACAAAATTCAGAGGACCAAAACAAATATAACCGTGTTAGTAAAATAAGCAATATATTGTGGGCTTTGCATTAAGGGAATAATTTCCTTAATGTATACTGTGTACAGGGGGCAATAAAGGACTATTCAGTCATCCACAGATACTGTATCCATAGCTTCAATCATCCAAAGCTTGAAAAAGATTTTTTAGGAAATAAAATTTAAAAACCCCTGATTATTTCCCATTTCATATCAGTCTTTTTCCATTTTACTATACCACTGTATTTAACAGAATTTGAGCACCCTCTGATTTTGGCGTCCATAGTTGTCCTGGAACTAAATTCCAGGGGATCTGAAGGGCCCACTGCAATTATTTCTCACAAACCACCTGTTGTAACATAAGAATATATTTGGAATAAAGCAATGAAGTAGAGCATTTGATTCGAAGTACATCCAGTATTAGACAGCCTCATTAAATCGGACATATAAATGCATACTTATAATAATTATTTCTATCTGTGCAATCCAACAGAAATATTAAACAATGCAGCAAAGGTTTAGTACCATTATGAAGATCATCAGATGACTCCTGCCATGGCTGCCCGTTAACAGTGATGTTCTTTTGCACAGCTGTTTCAAAGTTCTGTCAAAAAAAGTATGCATGATAACTCTTAGAAATGCTGTTTTACATGTTTAATATACATTAAAAAGATAACTTGAACATTTACCATTCCAGCAAACATCTTCTTTCTCTACTTATATGGAAAGAACACAGAAAACTATGAGGTAAACCCAGGAAGGATGCTAAAATTGCCAATTGTTTTGATATCTAAAATAAGTATGACTGCAGATTTTTGGCTACCTTTGACTCTCTAAATCAGCTAATCGTTGTTGATGGAATACTGTGGAACCTTGGCTTAAGAGCATTTTGAGTTAAGAGCTGTTGCTTGGCCCAGTTCCACTTTGACATACAAGCATCATTTTGAGTTAACCGCCGGCACCAAAGGGAGTGATAGTGCTAGAGTACAGGGCTTTAGGGCTTCAAGGGAGCAGCCTCTGTTCCTCCAGCTCTTGCCTGCTTTGGGAGATTGCTGCCTGCTTTGTGGAACTTTGGGTTAGTTGACTTTGTTTGATTTTTATTCCGGGCATGTTTGTTCTTATATGCTGGGTTATTTTTCCTATTATGTATGCATTGGTTGTTGCATTCAGGCACTGAATGTTTTCATTTTTCTGACTGGAATCCACCCTGAGTTCCTTCAGGGGGATAGGGCGGAATATAAATAAAGTTTTTATTATTTTATTTATTATTTTGCTTCATGAAGTGGGAGAGAGAGAGCAAGAGAGAGAAGGAGGTTGGAATAAGTACACTATGAAGAAAATTATGCTTCTGCCTCTTCACTTCATGCTTCCTTGCCACAACTTTCTGCTTCTACCATTTTAAAGTTGATTTTCTTTTATATTGTTCTATGTGAATGTGTGGGTTTTGCCTTGCTGTTACACTGGCCAATACACATTTTGTTGCCTCAAACGTGCTTCCTTGCCATAACTTTATGCTTCTACCATTTTAAAGTTGATCTTTCTTTTTTTAATTGTTCCTTATAAATCTGCAGTTATACATTATTTGTGGAAAATCACAAATAGTCAATGAAGGCTGACATTTTACACACTTCTGACTGTTAAAATATTGATAATTCAATACTGGAAAGATAATTTTCCTCCATCTTTGATCCATGAGGACTGAGGATAATTGGAGTTGCAACTCAAAAGCATTTGTGCCTCTGAGGTTGGGGAAATGTTAAAGTACATTTTAACATCACACATCCTAGCCACAAGCTTTTTCTCTAAACCTCACTATTCTGACTAAACAGAACAAACTGCAGCCTTCCAGATGTTACTGTATCACAGCTCCCATGAGCTCTAGTTATATCTAATAATGAGGAATACAAGAGTTGTAGTCCAGCATCTGGAGGGTACCATGGCCATTTGTAAGAGTCCAAATGCTGAATCCTACTTTAGTATTTACCTCTTTTGAATACATTGGGTTGATGTGAGTTTTCCTCACAACTTCTGAGGATGCCTGCCATAGATGCAGGCGAAACGTCAGGAAAGAATGCTTCTGGAACATGGCCATACAGCCCGGAAAACTCACAGCAACCCAATGATTCTGTAATAAGGAATTCAATGTGCAGATTTGATAAATATGAATTTAATATGATGTGTGGGAATGAATGGAAGGATGTATGTATGGATGAGTTAATACTTTTGGAAGCACCAGTATACTATTAAGGCCTGCAATAACTAACTACCTGCTTTCTGGACTGTGATTAAAACCTGCTAATGAGAATTGAAAAGTAAACTCTGATAAGAACTGTGACAATGGTTCTTTCAAGTTAAGGAAATGTTTGCAACATTCCTTATGTTAAGTGCTTGTCAACACCAATCAAGAAGATCAACATCTGGCCAGGAAACTGAGATGGAGCCAGGATGGAAGACGTCTATCATTCATTTACAACTTTGGGACTACATCAACTGAATATTCCTATAAAAGACTCAGTCTAATAATGCTCAAAGTGTGACTGACCTGATGAGTCTGGTTCAACTGCTATGCTCTGCTCCATGGGAAGGAGATAGTGCACCATGGAGTGGCAGATTTGCAAGACAGCAGTCTGGTCACTTTGGGGCTTCTTTCTCAAGGGATGAGGAAGAAGTGCATTTTTGGAGTCTTAGATTTTGTGCAGGGAGTCAGGTTCTGCTGTATTTTGACGTTTTGAAGTTACGGCGCTATGGAAGTTTGGAACTATATGTTGGAAAGGCAGTAGGAAAGCTTCTCCAAGGAGGGAGAAAAGGATATAATAATATTTGGGTGCATGAAGATGAATGCATGTTCATGGGTGTGAATGTTGAGTCAAACTATAATTATCCTTTGTTTGTTTGTTAACCAATGTAATTGTGAATCCAATGCAGTTGCATTGAATCTATATATCTGTATGCCTAATGTCATTCTTTGTCTAAATGTTTTTCTGTAATCTGATACATTCTCTCACTCTGGAAATTGCAATAAAAAGAAAGTTATTGAAAAGTCATTCATGACCATTCCGGCCACTAAAGCCTCTGACAATACATTATATAATGTATTGTCGAAGGCTTTCATGGCCGGAATCACTGGGTTGTTGTAGGTTTTTTCAGGCTATATGGCCATGGTCTAGAAGCATTCTCTCCTGACGTTTCACCTGCATCTATGGCAAGCATCCTCAGAGGTAGTGAGGTCTGTTGGAACTAGAAGGGTTTATATATCTGTGGAATGACCAGGGTGGGACAAAGGACTCTTGTCTGCTGGAGCTAGGTGTGAATATTTCAACAGACCACCTTGATAAGCATATAATGTCCTGACAGTGCCTGGAGCAAACTTTCATTGAGAGGTGATTAGATGTCCTTGTTTGTTTTCTCTCTGTTGTTGTGTTGTTGTAATTTTAAAGTTTTTATACTGGTAGCCAGATTTTGTTCATTTTCATGGTTTCCTCCTTTCTGTTGAAATTGTTCACATGCTTGTGGATTTCAATGACTTTTTCGTGTAGTCTGACATATGATTGTCAGAGTGGTCTAGAATGTCTGTGTTCTCAAATAATATTCTGTGTCCAGGTTGGTTCAAGTGCTCTGCTATGACTGACTTCTCTGGTTGAATTAGTCTGCAGTGCCTTTCATGTTCCTTGATGCGTGTCTGGGCAATACTGTGTTTGGTGGTCCCTCTGTAGACTAGTCCACAGCTCCATGGTATACGAGAGACTCCTGCAGAGGTGAGAGGATCTCTCTTGTCCTTTGCTGAATGTAGCATTTGTTGGATTTTCTTGGTGGATTTGTAGATTGTTTGTATGTTGTGTTTCCTCATCAGCTTCCCTATGCGGTGGTTCCCTTGATGTATGGCAGGAACGCTTTTCCTCTGGGTGGATCTTTGTCATTACTCTCATGGCTTCTTCTTGGTCTTGCAGCTCTTCTGATGTCTGTGGTGGAGTATCCATTGGCCTGTAGAGCCCGGTTTGGGCAGTTCAGCTTACCTTAGAATCATAGAATCAAAGAGTTGGTAGAGACCTCATGGGCCATCCAGTCCAACCCCCTGCCAAGAAGCAGGAATATTGCATTCAAATCACCCCTGACAGATGGCCATCCAGCCAGACTACACAGAGAAGCCATTGAAACCCACAAACATGTGGACAATTTCAACATAGATGCAGGCGAAACGTCAGGAGAGAATGCCTCTAGACCATGGCCATACAGCCCGAAAAAACCTACAACAACCCAATACATTGTATACACTGGATTTGTTCTGGCACCGTTGGCCGCTCTGAGCCGCTTTTAGGAGAGAAAAGGCGGGATATAAATAATAATGAGATGATGATAAAGGCAGTTGAGTCCAAAAGACGACTGAAAGTGAAGCCAGCAGCCTGACAGCTTCTCCCCCTCCCTCCCTCCCTCCCTCAGGCCTTTCATCCTCACCCAGAGCGCCTCGTCCACGGCCTGCTTGAGGGCCTCGGCCTCCACAGCCTGCTCCGCGCCCAGCCTCTCCACCAAAGGCGCGTATTCCCCCAGCAACTCGCTGGTCCAGTCACGGGAGCGGCACGGCACCCTCGGGTCGCCAGGCGGGCAAGCAGAGGGAGATATCGCCTCTGCCGCCGCCGCCACCTCCATTTCACCCGCCATTTCCCGCTCTCGCCAAACCGCTCGTCAACATCGCCCCGCCCAGAAGCGGAAGTCCGGTCGGACGGTATCGGGCGTGGCACCGAACGAGTCCTTCGACAAAATACGTCCGGGTAGGAACGCAGCCTCTCTCGCTTGTAGTTCCGGGTGAAACGATGGGGGCGGTGGATTGTCACTGTCACCTCGCGGCTCCGGAGTTTCAAGGGGTGAGTTCGGCAGGGAGGAGAGAAGGCCTCTGGGTGCAGCTACACCAGGCATGGACCAGCTTGAGCCCTCCAGGTGTTTTGGACTACAACTCCCACCATTCCTAACAGCCTCAGGCGCCTCTCTTTTCAGCATGGGTGGGGGGAGTAACAAGAAAGCAGGGGGAAATGGACTATCTCTGTCTAGCACCTTCTTGTGGCCTCCGCCCAGATAATGGAACAGTACTGTCCAGCACCACACAATTATGTAAATGTGGCTCTATCAATATATTTTTTCCTGCCTTGACTGGATTTGTGTTGCAAGGCTTTCCAAGTGACAAATTGAAACTCTAGTTTACTTGGGAATCATTGTTAAACTGATGGGACTTGCTCTTGAGTAGATATGCCCAGATAACAAGAGCGGATGTATCATAGAATAATAGAGTTGGAAGCGGCCACATGGGTCATCTAGTCCAACCCCCTGCCATACAGAAAAAGCACAATCAAAGTATCCCTGACAGATGGCCTCTGTTTAAAAGTTTCAAAGAAAGGAGATTCCACCACACTCTGAGGCAGAGAGTTCCACCGCTGAACAGCTTGTATGGCAAGGAAGTTCTTTCTATTGTTCAGGTAAAATCTCCTTTCCTGTAATTTGAGCCCTTTGCTCCTAGTCCTAGTTTCAAGAGCAGGACAAAACACGTCTGCTCCCTTTTTCTTAGGACACCTTTTCACATATTTTATACATGGCTATCATGTCTTCTCTCAACCTTCTCTTCTGCAGGCAAAACTTACCCAGTTCTTTAAGATGCTCTTCAAAGGGCACAGTCTCCAGACCTTTAATCATTTTCGTCACCCTCCTGTAGATACCTTTCAGCTTGTCAATATCTCTTGAACTGTAGTGCCCAGAATTGGATACAGTATTCTTTCATCTGGCCCCCTCTCCTGTTTCGTCTATTTCTCTGAAATAGGTTATGTCCGTCCACTGCTACATTCCAATCATAAGACGTATCCCATCAGGGTTCAGTTATGCCTATTACATCTAACTGTTTTGTTGTGGTAGGAGTTCTTGATTATTTCCCATCCTCTGGGCATTAGTGTAAAGACATCTAAACTCATGGGACATTCCCCCTTAGCTGTTTGTTTGAGATTATTATCCCCTTGCTGCTGCTTGTGTTTGTCTAACCCTCTCTTTAGCCTTTTTTCTGTTCACTCCAGGCCTTGATAAACTACTGTTCCCAAGGATAATGTTACTCTCCCCCACACAACCTAGTTTAAAGTCCTCCTGATCAATATTGCCAGTCTCTGAGCAAAACAAACAAACATGACTTGGCTATAAAATACTGGAAGGAAACTTTGGAAAATCCAGGTTCAAGTCTCATCAGAGTGGAGCTTTAGCCAAGCCCCGCTCAATGAATCCTAACTTCTTGGAAGTTAGCATGAATATAGATATAGTTAAAAACATGCATATTTACTTAGAAACCAGATGTCATTAATTTTTAAAAATTGATTTAGTATTCAGTATGTGCAGTATTTGTGTTACTTCTGCCACAAAATTTAGGATGTGTATCAACTATTCAGACAGTTTTTGATCTAGTAACTGATAGTTTAAATAAGGGGATTGCTTCCATATTTTGGATTCTTACATAAAGCCTCCACAACTTAACTTCCTTGTCAAAGATTCTATATTTTCATGGCCCTTCCTATTCAGTATAAGATTGATGACAGATTTTACGTTTACATGTGTAAGTAGTCACTGGAAGAAGGAAAAACAAGTGTACACTTTAGTTCTTTCAAACTTTTACCTTCTTTACCCATTATTCTACTGCTTAATTATTTTAAAATATATTTCAGGACATAGAGTGTGTGTTGGAAGAAGCAAGGAAGGTATGTAAATGTATGTTTTTGTAAATGACAAGTTTTTCCGTTTCTCGTGTTCTGTTAGTTTTTGGAAATTTGTATAGAGCATTGTGTTTGTATCCAATATATCTTTAGCTTACTATGATCCATGGCATGTGCCACAAAAGAAAGAAGGCAGGGTGGTAGGTGGGTAGACAGTGAGAGGCACCAGTTAATCCGAACATCCCATTAAAAGCATTAAAGGTTTTTGCTTGGAAAAGTTTATTTGGTTGGGCTAAAATTTCCTTGTGCTACTAAAAGCAGTTCAAGCTATTTAAACCAATTTGTAATTGTGTTTATTTCTATTCTTTTTTTCTATTTCTAAAAGAACAAAATGTTTTCTTCTTTGTTGGCAGTTTTTTTATTTGAATATATTCTCTGTGCAACTGTAACTGACATTTGAGGTATCCTGCTTCATTATATCACTAGAGGCTAAACCCACAATAAAACTCCACTTTTGGTCCTGAAATCTCAGACCGTGGTGACCCTATATCCAAGCTACTATTGAAATGAAAATCATTTGTTTAAAAAATAGCATTGAAATTTTTATTTTCAAATGCATATGCTTAGAATCAAGAAATCATAAGACTTTTATTAATTGTTCTTTTTTTTTTTTTCAGTCAAAAATATTGGCCCTGGTAGCAGTTGCTGAACATTCTGGAGATTTCGAAAAAATTATTCAACTTTCAGAACGGTACTGAAATGTCCAATTCTTTAGCCTCTCCTACATGGGATGAAAAATGCTGCATGGTAGAATCCAAAGAAACACGCAGAGTTCCTAGCTGGGGTTTTTGGAGTATACCTCTTAAACAACAATTCACCAATTTTGCAACTGAAGTGTTGGGTTTAGTGCTTGCAGGGATCTTACTGTAGTCAGAAAATAGAAATTTGAATAAACTGTTGCTAATATTTGAGCCATCAGAATGAGAATAATAATAACCAGTTACTTTCTTACATCATTCTAATATAGATATCCTGTTTTTTTCAAACCTGAAATTGCAAACATTTCGTTTTATAGTAATTCATATCAGACACTTTGGATCTTTTTGAATGTCCTCCAGGCACTCAGGATTTGTCTTTGGATGTCTGGGGATCCATCCAATTCAAAGCAGTTCAACAGGTCAAGAATGCAGTGTTACTTTGCAGGTGACATGGAGATAAGTTAAATTGCTGTATCATTTTTGTAGTGTTTCTTATTTTCCCAGCTACCTTTTAGGCTGTGTTCTTAGGCCACATGCAAGTAATGTGTTATGTCACTGTTTATATTTTGCTCTTTATTCAAAGTGAGATGATGAGGGGAAGTACATTTTTTAGAAAGTGGGACACCAATTAATTTCTCCACCAATTAATTCTCCACCAATTAATTTCTAGGCTTCTTTCGCCCATTATCATTTTTTGGTCTTTACTCTCTTTTGCCCATATTTATGGAAGATTACACAGGCATTCAGCCCATATCCCATTTCTATCTGCAGGAAAATTGACATGTTCTTAATTTATATATCCAAGCTACTATTGAAATGAAAATCATTTGTTTAAAAAATAGCATTGAAATTTTTATTTTCAAATGCATATGCTTAGAATCAAGAAATCATAAGACTTTTATTAATTGTTCTTTTTTTTTCTTTCAGTCAAAAATATTGGCCCTGGTAGGATTGTGTTCAATTGAAGATTATAACTTTTCCAAGTTTGATTCTTTTAATATTTATACTAGTTCTTTCTGCAGGACCTAGATGAAGCATTGCCACTCATCGAACTCTATAAGGACCATTTGTTGGCCATAGGAGAGGTAAGCAGAATCGCCATAAACGTTATGCTTTCAGTTTTATCCCTGCTTCATGTGTACAGTACTGTTCTTCTTATGTAGTAAGCCTTGGGTGGAACATTTCTGATCATTTTAACTTAGATCTTAGCCTTACAGAGTTAAATGGGATTTCTTTCTTTCATCTACGGACGACGCTATCTCTTCGGCTTAGAAATTGAGATTAGCACCACCCCCCAGAGCTGGACACGACTAGACTTAATGTCAGGGGAAACCTTTACCTTTTATACATGGCTGTCATTTTAGCTACTCTTCCAGACAGTATGCATGTGCTACAGCATTCCTATTTAGGACTATCATACATAATATATGTGTTCTTTGAACAATGAAAGACAGGACACAAATATTTAATGAACGTTTCAGATATGGGATTTATATTACACATATATAGTTGTCATACATGATGATTTTCTCTTATGTATGTAAGATGGAACAGATACATTTTTAAGTGTACCTCCAGCCATATATATGCTTTGAATAGCATAGGGAAGGGTTAACATCCCTGTGGTGTTTGTTTTGCTATCTGTGCCCCTGTTCGGAAGGTTTCACTGAACTTTCTGTCCTTGTAATAATTGGATTTTAGGAAATTTGGCTTGTTGAGGAAACAAGAATTGAGGATAACACTTCAGTGGAGATACCTTTTCCCCCATGATAACTCTTTCAGGAGTGAATTTCTCTTCTGAGGGTTAGATTTCTCTCACTTCCTGTTGTCTCGCCCCCGTTCTTAACTATAAGTCATTTGTAAATTGGATGTTTGTACCTCGGAGCCTGCCTGTATTATTAAATGTAAACTTGATTACATTTAGAGTAGAAATAGAGAGTCTGTGGCCTACATTTGTGAAACTGCAATTCTCATTGGCTGTGCTGGCCAGCAGCGATGGAATTTGTAACCTAACAATATTAAGAGGGTCCTGCTCATTTAGGTTTATTTTAATTATAGCTCCTAGGTGAGTATAGTTTGAGTGGATAGAAAAGAGTCTAATTTTTCCATTCTTCCTCCAGGTTGGTTTGGATTTCACACCGAGGATTGCCAGCACTGAAGAACAGAAGGAAGGGCAAAGACAGGTCTTGATCAAACAGATTCAACTGGCAAAACAACTAGATTTGCCTTTGTAGGTCTTATAAGATGTTCATTGCAAGAAAGGTTATTATTTGTATCTGTAGGAGGATAATACCAAACTCTTAATGCTTTGAAATTGTCAAGTTCAAGTTACTGATTAGTCTAGGTGCTATTGCAACTGCATTGATCTTATTAAAATTCTTATTGCGGCTTACATAAACCTGACACCAATTGAGATAAAATGTTGCTCTTGCATTTTCAGGGTAATTGGCTGTTCTGTTGTATAATATTTGTATAGTTTTTTGAGGTTTCTCTAGGCATTGTACTAATAACTGTTTTCTCCTCCTTCCACCCCATTCTGCTATAATCAGAATGTTACATCAAAAATACCGTTATTTACTTGTTTATGTAACCTTTCATGATAAATATGTCCTGAGGATATATGCTGGATAATGATAAGTAAAAACCTCCTTATTCAATCAAGCCTAAAATTGTAAGAAATGATCACATGCCATTCAAGTAATTGGCTTGTTGGACTACGAAAGTCCAACTCAGTTTTTTAAAAAATCTGCTGCTGTTTTTTATTCTCTTTATTTATGTCAGAAATGTCCACTCCCGCTCAGCTGGAAGGCCAACAATTAATCTCTTAAAGGAACAAGGTATTATTTGGTTTTAGTGGGGCTTTTTAATTATACTACAGATACAGCTGGTTTTGTTTAGATTATAGAAAAGAAGGCTGAGAGGGGACATCAGACCCATGGCAGGGGGTTGGACTGAATGGCAGTTGTAGTGTCTTCCAATTTTTATTTTCTTATTCTAAATATTGTATTCGAAAGACTAGTTTTTTTTACTCTTGTGGTTTTCCTTAGGTGCTGAGAGGGTGCTGCTCCATGCCTTTGATGGAAGGCCATCAGTGGCTATGGAAGGGGTGATGGCCGGGTACTTTTTCTCCATTCCTCCTTCTATTGTAAGGAGTGAACAGGTGAGATTGAAGAGGTTCCTCCATGAGATTTCTTCTCCGTAGCCTAGAAGAATTTCTACATAGGTGGAATGGGGAATGTGCAGCCCTCAAGGTATTATTGTACTGCAGTCCCTATCAACCCTAGTTAATTTAGCCAGTTTAAGAAGTAATCATTAGAATTATAGTCCATAAATATGTGGAGAGCAAACTATTCTCCATCCCTGTTATTAAAAAAAGCCAGCATGACCTCTGTTGGTCCCCTTTAAGGGGTGTGTGTGCTGTAGAGCAGTTAGACTCAAGCTAGACAGTCCCTTCATCTTCAGATGTTCCTGTCATTACAGAGATTATGGACTCTGCTTCCCTTTACCATGTTTCATGGTTTAAATCAGGGGTCCTCAAACAAAGGCCCGGGGGCCAGATAGTGCCCTCCAAGGTTATTTACCCGGCCCTCGCTCAGGGTCAACCTAAGTCTGAAATGACTTGAAAGCACACAACAACAACAACAACAACAACCCTATCTCATCAGCCAAAAGCAGGCCCACACTTCCCATTGAAATACTAACAAGTTTATATTTGTTTAAATTGTTTTTCATTTTAATTATTGTATTGCTTTTAAGTGTTATTTGCTCTACAAATAAGATATGTGCAGTGTGCATAGGAATTCATTCATGTTTTTTTTTTTAAAAAAATTATAATCTGGCCCTCCAACAGTTTGAGGGACTGTGACCTGGCCCTCTGTTTAAAAAGTTTGAGGACCCCTGGTTTAAATGTATTAGTTGACTATATAACCTAATATAGGTATACCTCAGTAATGAAGTAGACATATTCCTTGGCTGTACTTCTAACAGAAACAATGGTACCAGAGGTAGGAATAACATGGAAAGAATATGGATGGGTTCCTATACCACCAAAAAAGAGATCAGTTCAACATGAATCCCTATATTGAGAGAAAGGCAGGATAAAAAGAAAGTAAAAAAATAAATAATATGTTTCAACAAAGATTTAATTCAAAACTAACATTAGGCACATGTGTAATGAAACAACCAGGTCAATTAAGCCTGGTGACAGTAAACAAATCATTTTTAATCTTCTAGAGACCACTTCCAAGCTTCTTTGAGAGGAAAAAAGAGAGGCAGCTGGGTTGGACTTCTGTAAAAAGACTTTGTAAAAAGGAGCTTCTTTGTCAGAGTCTTGTTAATTGAGGTATGTCTGTATCTTTGGACAAAACCTCCAAGGTTAGTTTAAGAAACATGGAGGTTCTAAATTAAGTCAGGTTCAAAACACACTATAACATTTCAAAAAATAAATAAATACAAGGGTTATCCAAAAAATAAGGTTACAAGGCACATAGCTCTCGCAGGGAATTTTCGCTGGGGAAGTTGGTATCACTGTTGTGTAGCGGGAAGCCAGCGGAAGCGAATGAGCAGTTCCAGTCATCAGTAGCTCATTGACTGTTGTTGTGGTGAAGGGTAGAGATGAGTGTCCTCATTCCGTTTCCCTCCAAGTTCAAAGTTTGCGTTGTAATACACAACCTAAATGCTTAGGGCATGAAAGCCACTGCGATTCACCGTGAAATCGGTTCAGTTTATGGAGAGGACATACTGTCAAGACAGCATGTGACAAAATGGGTATGGAACATATTGTGAGACCCTGAAGAAACTTCGCAGAGCCATCCAAAACAAACGTCATGGGATGCTGACGGCAGGAGTCGGTCTCCTTCATGACAATACTTGTCTGCACTCTGCTCATACAACACAAGAGTTGTTGACTTCATTTGGTTGGGATGTTTTGAGCCACCCCTCTCACAACCCCAATCTTGCGCCCAGTGGCTATCATCTGTTCACTAAATTGGAGGAACACCTTGGTGGGAAACACTTTTCCAATGACGAGGTGAAATTGAAGTGACAAACTGGCTGAAAAAGGTGGAGGGAAACTTCTATGACACAGGCCTCAAAAATGTATTGAACTAAATGGTGATTATGAGGAAAAATAATGTAATACCTATGCTGCAATCCATGTAAGTTTTATTAAAATATATTCATTTTTTGTAGTTTTAAAAATCTTGTAACTTTACTTTCCAGATAACCCTTGTATATGCCATCTAACTATTATATCTTTATTTTCATAATTATGTAAAATGTTACTTAGTGGTCCTTTGTGATATGCAGTTCTGAGATTTAGCATGCTTAGTTGATGCTTACATCTAACACTGGAATCCAACATTTTGGGAAACCTTTTCAATATGGGGAAGTGGGGCAGGAAATTTCCTACAGTAAAAAAACATACACATCCTTCTGAATGAAGTAATGTTGACTGCCAGGAAGGCTACTTGTTCTATTGGCTTGCAGTAGTTCTTTGTTATTTTCATGATGTATTATTATAAGATCTTTTTGTTTAGGATTTCGAGTAATGCTTTAATCTTTGGGGGGATGTTCATTTTCCCTCCTGCAGCATATGGGAAAATTTAACCAGCATTTGTTTTTATAAGGATTATAAACAAATCTATGCAATCTGGGTAAACACTCCTCCCATTTATGGCCTGAAGATGGATATCCTGCTATTGTTATTGAAATGGGCTTGGGATGCACACATGGACAAGTCAAGTGGAAATGCCTTTTCTCTTGTTATAATTCATTTCACTCCCAATTTAATAGACTAAATAATAGCCATATTTCAATGAAAACAGGAACTTGTCTTCCATGTAACTATAACCTAGAGTAGTTCCCATGATTCTTGATCTTTAGATGTATAATTCATTAGTCGTACTAACAATACAAAGTGTTTACAAAGGTTTTTATATATTACACCCAAAATAGAGCAAATAACTTGAAATATTATTCAAAAAATACTCAGAATGCAGTCAGAGTTTCTTCTGAATTCTTCTGGAGAGGACTGTACTCTTTGATTGCAGCCCTATAAATATTTGCTTGGTAGTAAGTCTCATTAAATGCAATGAGACATTTTTATGAATAGAAGTAGATATACTTGTGCATTTATCATTTGATTAATCAAGTAATGTATTAAGAGCTTATTTTTACCAGTTATTTTAAGAATTAAGAACACTTGCTTATTTCTACAAGCTGTTCAGCTCTCATGTTCCTGAAACAGGGAATGGAAAAGATGTTAAGAGTGTGGTTTTCTGCTTCCAGTGGCTGGCAATGGATAGGATAATGAAGAAAGGTTATTTCCTATCCTTAAAGGATAATTTGAAGTCAGGTTTTGGGGTAAATTATTAATATTTTAATTATAGTTGTTTGCGTAAAAGAATAGTTTGTTATTTAGTGGAAAACTCTATTTTAATACAAAAATGAAGGTCACCATGTTAGTCTGTAAGTACAAAATAGAATCCAAAGTCCAAAAATGGGCAATCCAGTTATTAAGACCAACTATAATTCCACAATATTATGCATATTTTAGCTTTCGAGCGTTTTTAATGATTTGTTTTAATGCTTGATTATGCCTTCAGAGACTGCAGGTGTTAATGGCCTATTTTATTTTCCTCAAGAAGCAGAAACTGGTAAAGCAGCTGCCTCTAGAAAACATTTGCCTAGAAACGGATTCTCCTGCACTAGGTCCTGAAAAACAGGTAAAGTATTAACCTGCATTTTTTTTACCAAGATCAGAAATAACACATAAAATGTAAGAAATAAATGGCAAAAGAAATGATGATGCATATAGTTCACAGTTGAGAAGACACGAAGATGTCTTTAGCACAGCAGGTTAATCACCAAGCTGCAATAAATCTTGCCAACCAGAAGATTGATAGTTCAAAGCCGGGGTCAGGGTGAGCGCCTGACCTTAGCCCAGCTTCTGTCAGCCTATCAGTTCAAAAACAAATGTGAGTAGATAAATAGGAACCAAATTAAAGCAGGGAGGTATTTTAGGCATGGCATTTCTATCAGAGAAAGGGGGATGCTCATACGAACAAAGAAAAACTACTTGGCATGGAGAAGGAGCGACAGCACCCACCCCATGGCCAGAGCTATCTGCTGTCTGCCTTGGCAATGTCTTCATTACATAGTAAAAGGGCAGTCTTTGTGGATCTTAATCTCTGAAACCAAAGGACTTGGAGGTTAAAGAATGGGAAAGCCAACTTTAATGGTGGAGAAAGGAGAGTGGTGAAGTTAATAAGTCTCACCATGCAGTCAGAACCAGTCTTTCAGCAGCCGATTCTAAAGATACATTTAATCCACAACAGATCTTGATGGAGAAACCATAATCCTATTTTTGTATTTCAGGTGAGAAATGAACCAAAGAATATCTTCATCGCTGCAGAATACATTGCTAAAATCAAAGGAATTTCAGTGGAAGATGTTTTACACAAAACAACACAGAATGCACTGAAGGTTTTCCCCAAATTGAAAAGTATCCTCCAGAAGTAGCAATGTCTTAATCTAAGGCAGGCAACACCCCTGTTATCTGGGAAATATGGACATAATACATATTGTCTTGAGTTCTTCTATTGTATCAGTCAGTTGACTAGTAGGACCAAAATAGAATATGTCATTCTGTTTTGCTTAATTTAATGACTTAATTTAATGAGAAAATTTAACCACAGCTATAATTTCACAATCATTCATTAATTCTGTTTGGGCCTAATAAGCAATAAAAGACCAAAGAAGAGGTATTGGGAATTGAAAAGGCTGGAGATTGGATTTGACTCCTTTTTGAGTTTAAAGCATGCACTCTTATAACTGAGCTAGACTGGGTCTGCTTGTTTCCCCAGTGTAACTTGTGGGATTTGTGAGAGAGCCAATGTCTAATGATAACTGCAGCTCTGAAATTAAAGAAAGCCGAAACAAGAACTGGAACATTCTTTGGAGATTTTTCCAGCAACCTGGGGCTAAGCAGTTATTGCTGGCTAGGAGCAAGAAAAGGGGAGTAGCTAGCGAATGCCCTGGGCTCCTTTGAGCAGCACATTTATCTATCCTCTCTTCACCCTGGCAGTCATCATGGGATGAAGGAAGCAATGCAGCTAGCTTCTGCCTGATTCCTTTCCTTTCTGTGGAGAAAAAGAAAGAGGGAAGCTTGATTTCTACATTATTTATGTCTGCCTGCAACTAGCTATTATTGTTTCTGATGCTTCTGGAACATAGCCATACAGCCAGAAAACTCACAGCAATCCAGTGATTTTGGCCATGAAAGCCTTCGACAACACAAAGAAACCAGAGCTGGAAAGAATTTTGAAACACAGATTGCTATTAGATAGCTTGGGACATCTGCCACAGAACATGGAAGCAGATGGAAAAAGACACCTGAATACAGATATTAATGTGGATTAACAGACAAAAAAAAAGAGCACCAAGGTTTTAAAGGGACTTTTATAGCTTTCACTACGGAGGAAGTGGCTCTTCTTGGGGCATTCGTCACCTTAGAAGACTCCTAAGCATTGCCTTTCTGGATCCATTAACTAAGGTGTAGCCAACTCTAGTTGTCCATTGTAAATGTGGACTCTCAGTACACCGTTTCCATTGCCAGACCTCCAAGGAGAATTCAAGAATGCAGTTGTGGAGAATGTTCTTATCAAACCACCCAGCTGCTTTTATCTCCACTAAAAATGAACATTTTGTAAAACTGATACAATGTCCTCCATGACTGTTTGTCATGGAGGACAGGGGGGACTGGTTCCTAAGTACTGAACCAGGAGAGGAATCTGCTGCTTCACTACCAGGGAATTTCTTCAATATATAGGTACTGAGCACCCCAATTAAAATGCTATTAGCATAGAACAACACAGCATTCTAACCTTCATAAATAGTAATGATAATTATGTACTTCCTATCCACTGTTTGGAGTGCATGGAATCCAGGTACATTTCCCCCCATAGATTCAGATTTATCTTGTGCCCTCATGAAAACAGAATCAGCTTAAGAGCCTGGTCCCTTCTTTCTAAGTGATGCTTTAGAATACAAATAAACCCTAGGCTGTTTTTCAGATCACTCACAGTTTCAGAAGCATAACATCAGAGATACGAGAAGCTGTTTTACTATGCTGAAAGGGTGGGCATGTTAAAGAAGGGACTGGCGAGGTCAGAATGGGATGCCACAAGCATGGAAATGGAAATTGAAGCAGCCTTTTTACGATTCCAGACAAACTACTTTCTCAGCCAGGGCCAACCAAAAGACTTTGTTGCCTGAGATGAAGGTCAAGACAACAATTCTCTCAATTTCACCTTGCCAACTAGATTGACAGTTGGTTTTTATTTATTATTATTTATTATTTACTTCATTTGTTGACCGCCGCTCTCAGCCCTTTTTCTCTTTAATGCTGGTGATGAGGCAGAATCCTTCAACACTCCTGACAACAATAGTAGTAAAGCCTCAGCAGAATGGAAGCTCCATACCTTTTAGCACTTGTTTAGCTCTGCCCAATGATAGAACTGGCCCTTTTCACAGTTCCCCTGGGAAATGTATTTTTAATAGTTAGCATACCAAGAATAATCTTGGTACATGTTCCACATTCAATTTATTTATTTTCTAGCATGTATCCCACGGGCCCCCGGTGGCTCAGTGGGTTAAAGCACTGAGCTGCTGAGCTTGTTGATCGAAAGGTCGCAGGTTCAATTCCGGGGAGCGGCGTGAGCTTCCGCTGTCAGCCCTAGCTTCTGCCAACCTAGCAGTTTGAAAACATGCAAATGTGAGTAGATCAATAGGTACCGCTCCGGCGGGAAGGTAACGGCGCTCCATGCAGTCATGCCAGCCACATGACCTTGGAGGTGTCTACGGACAATGCTGGCTCTTCGGCTTAGAAATGGAGATGAGCACCACACCCCAGAGTCAGACATGACTGGACTTAATGTCAGGGGACTACCTTTACCTATCCCTGTTATATACAAACTCCTATGGAACTGCCAAATTTAATCATGGGCTCACAAAAGCTATGCAAGCAAAGCTCAAGTTGCAGCAGATTCTACCAAACTGGTAAAGCTTTAACTACAACCTTAATAGCAAACTAAATATTTACTACCAGAGAAGTGGTGTACAGAAAAAATACCATTAGAAGGTTGATCCAGATGATGAATTGACAATAGCAATTATGAACACAACAATAGTGCATAATAGCTCAATGGAAGGGCCAGATGCACCAATGAAATCACAAATCTTTAAAATGCACCTATAATCATGACGTATTTATTTTTAAACATTTCTCCTCATATTCATGGAAATATCAAATAGCAGTCAACAGCTGCCAACAACAAATTTCTGTTAGCCATTAGACTTGCTACTGAAGAAATTGTTCAGCCCAGTAACCATGCAACCAATGTTCAATTCACGTAATACACGTAGCTTACATGTGAACAGACTCTACATCCCTGTGGCATATGGTAAAATAGGTGGGAATTTGTCAGTTGGCTATATAGCACACAATAATCCCAAAGTTCAGGAAAGCAATGAAGAGTTTTCATGGCTGCACCTTCAGTTGATCATTCACACAGTACCTTTGTCTTCATGAGTTCATGCTCAAGGAGAGGTGGGCACTAGTCACACCACACACAAACACACACACGCACACACACATATATATGGGGGGGGGGGAGAGAGATTTTTTTAACAATAGCAAAATGATTATTTTTTTATTTGTGAATAAGATGTTCCCAAAGGCTGAGTAGATGTAGCCTTCAGTCAAATAACATATATTTTCAGTAGGATCATCAATACAGCTTTCCATATCCACAGATTCTGCATCAATGGATTTTACCATCCATAGCTCGAAAATATATGTTTTAACATTCCAAAAGGCTGACTTTGATCTTGCCATGACAAACAAGGGATGTATTTTTTAATTTTTGGCTTTTAAAGTCTCTTCCACTGTGTTTTTCAGTTTTTTATGAGTGATGGTCACTCGTTGGCCTGATAGGTGTATTGTGTCCAAATTTGGTGTCAATTTGCCCATTGGTTTTTGGGTTCTGTTAATCCCACAAACGAATATTACATTTTTATTTATATAGATTGGTTATAATGGGACTTAAGCACTCACAGATTTTGGTATCCATGGTGGTCCTGGACCCAAACAATAGCAGATATCAAGGACCCACTATTATGTAAAATTAAAATATTTATTGGCATCTTTCACACATCTGGTATATCATTTTACCTAATTATTGTGTGTAATTCTGCACTTCTTACTTTCAAAGGTCTTCTAAGGTCTTCAGGTTTTGTAAGGTTCTGCTTATCTTGGCTAAAACTTGCTATTCCACGCAAGAGAAGCACATTAATAGCCACTATTACAAGTAAAGAATGTTTTCATTTCTTTGTTGCCAAGATTGTCTTGGCTTCGTTGGCGTGCTATTAATCAACACACATGCTGTCTTTTAGTTTTAAATGTTTTTTATGTGATTTAAGAAATAAATATACTGAGATCAAAGTTTATGGTCAGCTGAAAATTTATCTTAAGTTTGGGTGGAGCTTGGAAGAAACATTTTTTGAGGGATCACTACTCCCAGAATTCCACTAGTGGGTGATTCTGAGGGCAATATATTTCTTATATACTGCACTGTAAGTCTGGAAGTGAGTGGTTCAGCAAGGGGAACATGATGGGGAGAATGGAGAGATGTTGTTTCTGGGTTTATGGGCATTGGCTTGTAGGGCATGCGCCTTGTGGAATGAGAGAATATCACCAATATGGGAGGAAATCAAAGCCAGTGGTTTTAGGGTACAGTGAAACATATGTCGCAAAGAAGAAATTGCAGTTGGAACAAATCTTGCTCTTCCCAGCAACTACTGAAAACCACTGCAGTCTTATCTAGCCTTTCTCATTAATAACCTTTGCCATCTTGATCACTCTTGAATTTTACTTGCCACATTGTACAAATTGTCATCTATGAAATGTTGAATGGCATTTGTTGTGAGCATGAAAATATGATTATTCATTATTCCATATGCGTGTGCATCATCTGAATAGATAATTTAAACAGAGCAACAGCTGTGGGCTTTTAGGCAGTTAGAATTAGCCTATTTGGATTCATCCAAATAAACAGGTTGTGTGTGTGGGCACACAGATTAAAATGCATGATAGACAACTTTCTCTGTGACCCACTTGCCATCACTTCTTGTCTCTTCACATCTGATATCTGAAGGGGTTGCTTCACCCTACTAAAAAGGCTGGAAATGAAAAGGAGTCATAAATTTGTGATATTCTTTGGCTATTATTTATTTATTTACAGTATTTACATTCTACCCTTCTGGACTCAGGGCGGATTACAATGTACATATACATGGCAAACATTAAATGCCACAGACACACAACATATATAGACAGACACTCAGAGGCTATTTAACATTCTGGCCACCAGGGGAGCTGTCGCTTCACCATCCATTTGTGACACTGATGAAGTACTTCCTCATTCTTTGCATACTTGCTGGAAATTTTTATGGCCTCGTAAATTAGTTAAATTAGCCTCCCCATGTAAGTGGTACCTAAATTTCCTACTTGACAGATGCAACTGTCTTTCTGGCTGCAAAGGTTGACCTCGAGCTACACAAATGGTCGGAAGATCAACCCGGGCTGGCTTCAAACTCATGATCTTTCGGTCAGTAGTGATCTTAATGCAGCTGACTCCCAGCCAGCTGCGCCACAGTCCCAGTGCAGCTGTCTCCTAGCCAGGTGCGCCACAGTCCCGGTGGCTACCTACTTTAGAGACA